GATAATCTGAGGAGTAGTCTGAGGATAATCTGAGGATAATCTGAGGAGTAGTCTGAGGATAATCTGAGGAGTAGTCTGAGGAGTTAGAGGATAATCTGAGGAGTAGTCTTAGGATAATCTGAGGAGTTTGAGGAGTAGTCTGAGGAGTTTGAGGATAATCTGAGGAGTAGTTTGAGGATAATCTGAGGAGGAGTCTGAGGATAATCTGAGGAGTAGTCTGAGGATAATCTGAGGAGGAGTCTGAGGATAATCTGAGGAGGAGTCTGAGGATAATCTGAGGAGTAGTCTGAGGAGTTTGAGGATAATCTGAGGAGTAGTCTGAGGATATCTGAGGAGGAGTCTGAGGATAATCTGAGGAGTAGTCTGAGATAATCTGAGGAGTAGTCTGAGGATAATCTGAGGAGTAGTCTGAGGATAATCTGAGGAGTAGTCTGAGGATAATCTGAGGAGTAGTCTGAGGATAATCTGAGGAGTAGTCTGAGGATAATCTGAGGAGTAGTCTGAGGATAATCTGAGGAGTAGTCTGAGGATTAGACCGAGGAGTAGTCTGAGGAGTTTGAGGATAATCTGAGGAGGAGTTTGAGGATAATCTGAGAGTTCTGAGATAATCTGAGGAGGAGTTTGAGGATAATCTGAGGAGGAGTTTGAGGATAAACTGAGGAGGAGTTTGAGGATAATCTGAGGAGGAGTTTGAGGATAATCTGAGGAGGAGTTTGAGGAGTAGTCTGAGGATAATCTGAGGAGTAGTCTGAGGATTAGACTGAGGAGTAGTCTGAGGATAATCTGAGGAGGAGTCTGAGAAGTTTGAGGATAATCTGAGGAGTTTGAGGATAAACTGAGGAGGAGTTTGAGGAGTAATCTGAGGATAATCTGAGGAGTTTGAGGATAATCTGAGGAGTTTGAGGATAATCTGAGGAGTAGTCTGAGGATAATCTGAGGAGGAGTTTGAGGATAATCTGAGGAGTAGTTTGAGGATTAGACCGAGGAGTAGTCTGAGGAGTTTGAGGATAATCTGAGGAGTTTGAGGATAATCTGAGGAGTAGTCTGAGGATAATCTGAGGAGGAGTTTGAGGATAATCTGAGGAGGAGTTTGAGGATAAACTGAGGAGGAGCTTGAGGATAATCTGAGGAGTAGTTTGAGGAGTTTGAGGATAATCTGAGGAGGAGTTTGAGGATAATCTGAGGAGTAGTCTGAGGATAAACTGAGGAGGAGTCTGAGGATAATCTGAGGAGGAGTTTGAGGATAATCTGAGGAGTAGTCTGAGGATAATCTGAGGAGTAGTCTGAGGATAATCTGAGGAGTAGTCTGAGGATAATCTGAGGATAATCTGAGGAGTAGTCTGAGGATAATCTGAGGAGTAGTCTGAGGAGTTAGAGGATAATCTGAGGAGTAGTCTTAGGATAATCTGAGGAGTTTGAGGAGTAGTCTGAGGAGTTTGAGGATAATCTGAGGAGTCTGAGGAGTAGTCTGAGGAGTAGTTTGAGGATTAGACCGAGGAGTTTGAGGATAATCTGAGTAGTTTCAGGAGTTGTCTGAGGATAATCTGAGGAGTTGTCTGAGGATTAGACTGAGGAGTAGTCTGAGGATTAGACTGAGGAGTAGTCTGAGGATAATCTGAGGAGGAGTCTGAGGATAATCTGAGGAGTAGTCTGAGGAGTTTGAGGATAATCTGAGGAGTAGTTTGAGGATAATCTGAGGAGGAGTCTGAGGATAATCTGAGGAGTAGTCTGAGGATAATCTGAGGAGGAGTCTGAGGATAATCTGAGGAGTAGTCTGAGGAGTTTGAGGATAATCTGAGGAGTAGTCTGAGGATAATCTGAGGAGGAGTCTGAGGATAATCTGAGGAGTAGTCTGAGATAATCTGAGGAGATAGTCTGAGGATAATCTGAGGAGTAGTTCTGAGGATAATCTGAGGAGTAGTCTGAGGATAATCTGAGGAGTAGTCTGAGGATAATCTGAGGAGTAGTCTGAGGATAATCTGAGGAGTAGTCTGAGGATAATCTGAGGAGTAGTCTGAGGATTAGACCGAGGAGTAGTCTGAGGAGTTTGAGGATAATCTGAGGAGGAGTTTGAGGATAATCTGAGGAGTAGTCTGAGGATAATCTGAGGAGGAGTTTGAGGATAATCTGAGGAGGAGTTTGAGGATAAACTGAGGAGGAGTTTGAGGATAATCTGAGGAGGAGTTTGAGGATAATCTGAGGAGGAGTTTGAGGAGTAGTCTGAGGATAATCTGAGGAGTAGTCTGAGGATTAGACTGAGGAGTAGTCTGAGGATAATCTGAGGAGGAGTCTGAGAAGTTTGAGGATAATCTGAGGAGTTTGAGGATAAACTGAGGAGGAGTTTGAGGAGTAATCTGAGGATAATCTGAGGAGTTTGAGGATAAACTGAGGAGGAGTTTGAGGATAATCTGAGGAGTAGTCTGAGGATAATCTGAGGAGGAGTTTGAGGATAATCTGAGGAGTAGTTTGAGGATTAGACCGAGGAGTAGTCTGAGGAGTTTGAGGATAATCTGAGGAGTTTGAGGAGTAGTCTGAGGAGTAGTTTGAGGATTAGACCGAGGAGTAGTCTGAGGAGTTTGAGGATAATCTGAGGAGTTTGAGGAGTAGTCTGAGGATAATCTGAGGAGTAGTCTGAGGATTAGACTGAGGAGTAGTCTGAGGATAATCTGAGGAGTAGTCTTAGGAGTTTGAGGATAATCTGAGGAGTTTGAGGAGTAGTTTGAGGACTAGTCTCAGGACTAGTCTGATGAGGAGGACTCTAAGGAGTAGTCTGAAGAGTAGTCTCAGGAGGAAGATCTGAGGAGGAGTCTTATGAGGAAGATCTGAGGAGTAGTCTGATGAGGAGGGGTCTAAGGAGTAGTCTGAGGATGATGAGTAATCTGATAAGGAGTAGTCTGAGGATGATCTGAGGATAACCTGATGGGCAAACCCAAATTTTAGCTAAAAGTGACAGGGAAAAAAAACGTTTAGTATTAAAAAAAAAGACCGATGAGAGCTTCGTTCGAAATATAGAGGGAGCTGAGAATGCGCAACCATTCTCAGGGAATATTGGATGCTATTCCCGTTCCCTCTGTATGGAAAATTGAGGTTTTCAAAGGGAGTTAAAATAATATCAAATTTATACTAATTTACTTCAAAATACAAAAGTATTTGACAGCTAAAATTAGTTACTTTAGCAAGCCTATCAATACCCTTTTACGATTATTGCTACTTTTTCGAAATAAAAGTAAAAACAAATTTATACTAATTTACTTCAAAATACAAAAGTATTTGACAGCTAAAATTAGTTACTTTAGCAAGCCTATCAATACCCTTTTACGATTATTGCTACTTTTTCGAAATAAAATAAATTTATTATCAAAAACCTTTTTTTTCTTAGTAAAAATAAACGAAATTTTTTACCTTATGAACTTTTGATGGAAATATGCAAATTTAAAATAATAAAGAAAGCCGCGAGCGAAGCGATCGGCTTAGTTCGAAGATTTTGATTCAAATCTTTGCTGATCTGTAATTTGCGGAAGCCGCGAGCGAATCGAGCGGCTTAGGTCTAAGATTTTGATTCAAATCTTTGCTTATATTCCTTAAATTCTTTATGAAACTCGCAACAGTTCCATAAAAAATTTTAAATTCTAAACTGTCGAAATTACCGATCGGTAATCACACCCTTCACAAGTGTGTCACTTTTACAGGTGTGTCACTTTTAGCTAAAATTACCCCTACTCTAACCTGATGACTAGTCTAGGAGTGGTCTAATAAAAATGTAAAATATTTTCAAAGAAAAAATTCTATGAATTTTATATTTTAATTCTTAGCATTATACTGAATAAAATAAACATAAATATCAAAATTTGAAATTGAACACGCCAAAAAATTGATAATCCACATTCAATATTTTGTAAGTGGCGTACATTTTGAATACTCGCCATACGCCTTGGAGTTCTCAATTTTGAATTCGCCTTTATTTGGGCGACCTCAGAAAAATACGCCATTAAGAAAATATTGTATGAGATTTTAAATTTGAACACGCTCTACCTTAAGGAATTAAATTTATTAAGATATATTTATATATAATAAACGATTACTTAAAAAAAGTATTTCATCGCTTATGTAAGTTTCAAAAAAATCACGAAAATAAAAAAATCAAGATTAAAATTTTATTTTTAATTTTTGAATTTCTCAAATGGCGAAATTTTTGGGCGAACAAAAAAAATGTACGCCCGGTCAAATGGCGTGTTTAACGCATCCCTAGAAACATGTATTATTTCCGCCGCCAAATGCACCACCAAAATCAGATGAAGCACCTGAACCTCCGGCAGCAAAAATATAAATGTTTTCATTTAAAATGACACGACTAGATCCACCACCACTGCCCGATTTATATCCACCACCTATAAGAGTGGAATAACCACCATCTGGATGGCCTCTATATGTACTGTCATGGTTATCATTTCCTTGTTCGCCAATAATGGCTTTATATCGGAGATTTTCATTAGTTACTTTGATTTTAGCATGAGAATATGATCCATATCCGCCGGGATGAAAGAATCGCTTATTGATCCAATAATTTCCACCTTGGGCTCCAAAACACTCAATATCATATAATCCTGGCCGTAATTCACTAGAATATGTATTATATCCTGTTTCATTATAGATTAATGTACCATGAATGATTGGTTTACATACATTCTTTATGTTGATATATCCAACAGGGCACGTTTTAAGTTCACATTTTCCTTCGTATAAAACATGATTTGAATCACATTCAAGACATGTTAAATTGTTTTCACAGTTAATACAGCTATCAATACAAATATATTCGGATCGAATAGTAACTTTTCCATTTCCATAATTTTTGTTACTACTATTTCCATTAAAAATCTCTGAAAAAACAATCGATTCATTATCAGAAATGAAAGATGTGCCACTAGCTCCAACTTTGGACATATATTGGGTTGTGCGGCCTCCAATACCACCTAAATAGCCCCCTCCACCACCACTTCCTAGATTATCACGAGACCTTTTTTACCAGGTCCTCCATTTCGATCTTCTGTCATATATTTCTTTTCACTTGTTTCAAAATAGTTATCATTTCCACGTTCTTTGTAGAAGCATGTATTATTTCCGCCACCTGGTGAACCATCGCGTGTAATTGAAGCACCTGATCCACCGGCAGCAACAATCAAAGGAATATCTCCTAAACTAACGCGGCTGGATCCTCCGCCGCCTCCTGGTTTTTTTATAGGATAAGTATCATATTTGGCAGGATCGCCACCATCTGGTTGGCCTCCTGAATCTGTGTATCCTTGCGCTCCAATTTCAACACTCAGAGAAATATTTGAATATGCGACCTTTATTTTAGCATGGGCATATGATCCAGGTCCTCCATTTTTTAACTTTGTGTAGGTATCTCTATTAGTATAGGAGTAAGAAGTTCCGCCTTGAGCTCCAAAACACTCAATATCATACAAACTTGGTCGTAATTTAATGGTTTCTTCTTTGTAACCTCCTTTATCAAAAATGATATCTTGATAAAATAGGAAAATCATTGAATTTGATTGAGTGGTTTCATCTTTTAGTAGATTTTAAAGTATTTATCGTATATCAAATCAATAGTAATGAATTTATGCTTTGTATCATTTTCATTTAAATACGAAATATTAGACTTTTCGTAGTTAATTAGTTCCGATTCTGCATGAAGTTGGACTTTATTGACATTGAATGAATTTATGATTTGTTTATTTAGTTCATTTTTTTGAAATTTTAAAGATGTCGCTTTGTTATTCATTAAAAGTGTCTTTTTCGTATATGATTAGCTATTGTTTGTAATGCTGCTTTAATCGGACTACGTTTGAAGTATGAAATTGTGGTGGAAATTGTTGATAAAAAAAACAATAAGAAAAATTAAATAAAAAAGTGACAATCCTCAATGAAAAGTTCTTTTCTTCACGAAAAAGAAGTTATTGGAGCTAATTATGAAGGAGAAATTAAGTTAGGAGCATATCATGATGGTCTTTATATCTACGTTAACAATGTTGATCAAGTCTATGCTTTTAATTCGATTAATTTATCAAAAATAACATTTGAGCCACCTGACAAATCAATTCAATCATCAGTTACAGCAGTTGCATTATCACCTTCCCATGACTATGTTGTTGTTGGTTTTCTCGACGGATCAATTCAATCGTACGAATATCCAAATCCGAAACCCCAGAAAGTTATTTCTAAATCTCGTGGAGCTGTAATACTCAGCATAGCATTTATTCGCGAAAATACTATTGTTTTTATGGATTCGACTCAAAATATTTTCCAATATGAATTATCCAAGTCAATGAAATCATTATTTGCCAAAGATAAGCATGTCTGTAAATTGTCCTCATCCGGTTTATCAGTGGTTGCGCCCCCAGTTTACAGATATCGCCCTCCAACTCAAAATTCAAAACAATCATGTTATTCAATATGCCCCAAATTCGATAGTACGTTCCTCGTTCTACTTGCTGAAGCCACGAAGATGCTTCAAGTCACAGAAGATATCTCTATTATTAATGATTTCAAAGAATATTCTTCCGCTTTCGTAGATTTCATCATTGAAGACGAAAATACACTCAAAATTGCCATATTCTCGAATAACAAAGCCTCATTACTCAGATTTACCCGCGGAAGTACACCAGAAGTCCTCAAATCAATTGATATCGAAATTTCACCTTTACAAGTTGCCTTCCTTACAGAATCCATCCTTTCCATTACATACGGAGATGGCATGTGCAAGTTTGTAAGCTTCCAGGATGGCTCAGTCACTGAAACTACGATTCCTCACAACGGATTTACGATTTCTCTTGAAGGAAGTGGTGGTTTCGTGTCTTTCAATGATGGTAAAATGTATAAATACTCATTGCCATCGTTCATTGACAAGTTTGACGACATAATGAACAATGATAACTTCGAAGAAGGGAAAAACCTTTGTGCGGCCGCGATAAAAGGTGATAGCTATGCATGTATCGGTCTTCCGACCAATTATTACCAGCGAGAATTGTTTGTTCAGACGAAATTCATGGAATTCTTCACGAATTACATGTCAAGTGAGCTTTTTAAGGCCAAGGACTTCGACGGATTGTTCAATGAATGCGTGAAAACAGCAATTGACATGAATTCGACTGAATGGATCACTTCAAAATTATTAAAAATATTATCTGACGAAGACAAGCTTCCTATCTATTTTAAGAAGATCCTTTCGCTTGATCCTGATGCAACGAAGTTCTTTTACACCAAAGAATTCTTTGAATCTCTGATTTCAAATTATAATGAACCAGATATTTATTCTTTCATTGAAAAACTTGATAGTTCTGTCGCTACTCCAGCTCTTGTCATCAAACATGCCATCGATCATCAGAAATTCGATGTTGCAGCCACTTATTATATTAATTCTTTGAAAGACATCGTTTCTGCATTGACTGTCTACTACAACAGCGAACTATATGACAGGATAGTTAAGATTATCGATGAATGCGTGCCAGAAAACAAAGGAAACTTCAGTATTAAAATTATTTCTTGGTTATTCCAATATAACAAGGGACAAAACAAGTTCGAAAGGCTTCCAAAGCTTATAAACAAGCTTGGAAATGATATTTCGTATATCAAATCCATTGGAATTTTCATCAAAAAAGAAAATCTTCCATTTTCTTATGATATCTTCTTTAATTCATTAATTGCAATAGTATCAATGGAGAAACTGGGCTACAAACATGAACTTTTCAACTATGTTGTTGAATTATTCCTTGAAAAAGAAGTAAAATTATCTCAAATGTCCCTAAGTTTCCTTTTAGGCAGTATATTCTCTTCAGAATATTCTACAGCTAAGAAACGTGAAGAAATATTGATCAAAATGATAGAAAGAAAGTTATTGGACAATATTGGTTCCGAATTCATGGATTTATGCGATAGTTTCGAGTATTCAACAGCTAAAGGACTATTAATGATGAAAGGAAAGAGGTATGATACCATTATTTCGGATATGTTGAAGAATTCTCCAGATAATGTTTTTGATTTCATGGAAAAAATGCTTACACAAGATAGTGAATGCTCGCCAAGTATTAAGAAGGCCCTAGAAACATTAACTGACCAACTAATGGCCATTGACATCCAGAAATTCTTTAATTTTGTTGCGAAATTTTATCCTGACATTGTTCCAACAATTCCAACGCTTGCTCATGAGAACTTATTAATTAATGCTTACATAAGATTGGTTTACAATGACGAGAGAACCAAAGAAACCAATTTTGCAAACGAATACAAGAAATCCTTTGTTGAATTCATATGTAACTATTATCCAGATGAAGTTTTACCATATATTAGGAACCAGGATGAGAATTTATTCATGGATTTCTTAACTCCTATCAAAGAAAATAATATTTTGGACACTTTGGTTTATATTCAGTTCGCTCTTGGTCAGACAAGTGATTTTGCAGAGCAACTCATGGTATTCCTTGGCGAAACAATAGCAAATACAATAAATGAAAAAATACCAAACGAAATTACTGAAAAATCCACTTTGTTTGTAAGCGAAATGGCCAAGAAATTAGTTGCAAGAGAGGCTTCTGCACCAACAACCAAAGAATTGCTTTCAAATTTGATAAAAGATACAGTTATTGCAATTTTCGTTTGTTACAAGATGGATCAAGAGAAAAGAAGCATCAAAGTTGTTCCTTTCAGACGTCTCCTTCAATCTTTATCCGTAATTTCATCGAATTCTATCAAATTCGACGAACTCCTTAAATTCCTTATGACAGAATGCGGTGAACTTGAACTTGGTGACACGAGAACCACAATTATGAACGTAATTAATGATTATCAGTATGATGTTGATTCAGATAAAACTCTTGGCGAATTATTCTGGAACGATATGCTTAAATCATACGAAGACTACATAACATTGAACATTACAGGCATCCAAGTCCATTCCGCTGTTTGTGGAACCTGCAAATCAAGACTTTCTAACGCAAACGGTTATCAGATCAGAATTTTCCCATGTGGCCATTGTTTCCATGACAATCCACAGTGTTTGAGGAATAACCAGTGTCCAATTTGCCAAAGAGAAGAAATTTACGGCGAAACTACCGCAAACGTTAAATCTCATGACTCAGACCAGGACAGAGTCATCAAGAGAAGAATCAACAGGTTCGAATATGATATTCACGCTCTTCCTACTGTTGGAGAAATTATTTGTGACGATTCACAAGTTGCTCAGGAACTTGTTAACCTTCCAACAACAAACACTGTTCCAACAATTTAAATAAAGATTTACTATATGTTTTAAAACTAAAATTTTCAATTATTTTTGAAAAATTAGCAAAAATAACAGCCATAAACCTAAAATTATTACATTTTACCAGAAATATAGCACAATTAACGCAGTTAATTAAACATCCTTTGCTTTATCTTAATAAAATAAAATCATTATTTTCAAAGCATTGACATATCTTCGATTTATGAGACAAACCTTAACTGATTTCACCAAATTTATAAAGTAGAGACTCTAATCAGATTGTCAAATCCGAGATATTTTTTCTTTCCTTTATTTGCGTAAAATAAAGCAAAGCATATGCATATTTGGTGTTTACCTTATAATTTTGTCAGTGTCTTAATCACTTTTTACCTTTGATATTCCAAGCAGTATACACTATTGCTTGTGCAATATTCTTTGGTTTTGAAGCTATATCATACTTTTTGCAGAAATCATTCAATGTAACAACGCGTTTGGCAATAGGAACAATGTTCGGAATCATATTTTCTTCATGGATGTTTTTTATAATTTCACTTTGGATACCTTTATCAAGAGCTCATGCAATTGCTCATGATATAATACTCCTATTAATCGCAATTTTGATATGCTCAATACGAACTCAAAAGAAATATAAAAAGATACCAAATTTAAATTTGGTAACTTACATTTTTGGAGTAATTTCTCCATCACTAATTGTTGGATACTTAGTTTGGGATGGATTACTGAATGAAGGTTTCTTTGCTCACGGAGCTTCTTACGGAGATTTTCCATTTCATATGAACATCATCAGTTCATTTGTTTATGGATGCAACAAAAATAGAAAGCATCTGTTCGATATTGTATCACCGTTCTTTGCACACCAAAAACTTGCTTATCCGTTTATTCCGAATTATTATGCCGCAGTTTTGATGATATCCTTTAAATTATCAATCCACGATGCAGCAGTATTACCATCAATACCTGTTATTATCTCATTATACGTCATTTTCGTTGAATTAATCTTTGCTTTTTCAAAAAGTCAACTTGCAGCAGTTATAGGCGTTTACTTATTCACTTTCAATGGTGGATTAGGATTTCAAAGCGTTTTCAACGAGGAACATCGAAAATTTTGGCAAACAGATTATGTTCGCTTTTGGGGAAAGGATATGCAAGAATTTTGGTTACAGGCAACATCACACATTCTTCTTCCTCAAAGAGCTTCACTCTATTCCTTGCCAATCGTATGGTCCGTACTTTTAATTTTAATTTCTTGCAACAATAATCGATCGATAAAAGAATTCATCGCCGCTGGACTACTTGTAGCCGAACTACCTCAAGTTCACCCTCATTCAATCATTGCTTTGGCTCAATGGGGCGGAGTTTTTGCTTTAATTACATTTCCATACAGAAAACCTGCAAAAGTTAAGATTTTTATTAAAAAATATTTAGCTTTAGGAATAGTTGCGATCATATTCGGTGCATTCCAATGCGTAACTTACACAGGAAGAACAACTCATAATAAATTTATGAAAATACAGCCTGTCAACAGAGGAGACTACCAAAAGAACATATTTGTACTTTGGTGGCGTGCATTAGGACTATTTATTGTGATGTCTTTCATCCATGCGCCGATCATTTTCAACAAATATCAGTTTCAATGCTATATTCCGTCTTTAGTAGTATTTCTTATAGGAAATTTCGTTATCTATCAACCATGGTCGCTAGATAACACTAAAATATGGAATGCCACTTTTATTCCAATAGCAACTGCAGCCGTGGCACTTTTTCTATCGGAATTGACTTTACACGGAAATGTTGGAAAATTAATATCTATTGTCCTGCTATTCTTCAGTACATTTTCAGGTATATTATGTGTACATAGTACATATAAATGCCGATCTATTGAATGGGATATCTACAAAGCTCCTTATGAAATTGCAAATTTCGTCATTAATAAAACACCACCTGATTCCATATGGATGACAGACAACCAACATGAAAACCCCATTGTAACGCTTGCAGGTCGACGGGCTTTGGTCGGTTATATCGGTTGGTTGATGAATCACGGTCTTGATTACAATGAAAGACGAGCAGCAATGAATAGGCTTTGCTTAAATCCAGAGAATACTACGGAGATTGATAGATACAATGTAACTTATGTAGGTTTAAGATACAGTAATTTAGAATATCGATTCAAGCCTCCACGAAACTCAAAGAAATGGGAACATGTATACAGTTCTGTTGCTTTTGATGTATGGCACCGAACCAAGGTTGTGTAAAAGAAGAAAAAAACATTTTGTTTGATAAAAATATTTAATCGTTGTAAATACTTGTCTATCATTATATCTTTGATTCTTATTTTTACGCCTTTTTTAATAGAGCATTCAAATGTCCAGTTAGATCAACGTTTAAAAAGTTAAGCACAATATGCAAATTGTGTAAGCATAATCATCATTTCGGAAGTTTCTAAACACATCAAACTGGTATCTCGGCTTTATCTATCATTATAGCTTTGATTCTTCGATTAAAAAAATGATATTGCTAATCCAACTATTTGAATTTAATATTTTCTTTGATTAGATTGTTGTAAACAGAAATTCATCAAAAGTGACACATCAGAAAAGCTAAACTATTGAATTTTTGGAACTTTTGATAGAGCACGTTTTTAAATATTAATTAAAGTAAATGTATATTTTGTAAAGATTCTTTTTAATAAAAAAATAAAATTTTGAAGAAGAACACAAAATCTTCTGAAAAATAATATCACATAAACTCATATTATTTTCTAATATATAACTATTTTATATAAAAATCAAATTCAATGATCTTAAAAGCGAAGGATAAACCTCAAAATTTACGAATATAATGAGTGGGAATATAATGCTTATCTATCATAAAACCATATGAAATATCAATTTTTGCTTTACGCCTAATTTTTGACGACAATTAGCAAAAAATGTTAAATGTTAACACTCAGTCCATTTGAATATGAAAAATAAAATTGACTTTGATTAAATGTTTTTATTTATCATGCAATTCTTCTTGCGACCAAAGATTTGAATAAAATTTCAAAAAATAAGATAGCTTAAAAAATAATATACGGTAGTGTTTACTAATAGATGAATAGTATATAAATTCTATTAAAATGGATTTGATCCAAAAAAATATAAAACCAAAAATAATTGTTATAATTTAAATGAAGAAGTAATTTAAAACGATTTTATTTATGATCAAATTTTATATATTTTTTTGGATCAAATCCATTTTAATAGAATTTATATACTATTCATCTATTAGTAAACACTACCGTATATTATTTTTTAAGCTATCTTATTTTTTGAAATTTTATTCAAATCTTTGGTCGCAAGAAGAATTGCATGATAAATAAAAACATTTAATCAAAGTCAATTTTATTTTTCATATTCAAATGGACTGAGTGTTAACATTTAACATTTTTTGCTAATTGTCGTCAAAAATTAGGCGTAAAGCAAAAATTGATATTTCATATGGTTTTATGATAGATAAGCATTATATTCCCACTCATTATATTCGTAAATTTTGAGGTTTATCCTTCGCTTTTAAGATCATTGAATTTGATTTTTATATAAAATAGTTATATATTAGAAAATAATATGAGTTTATGTGATATTATTTTTCAGAAGATTTCATTCTATATGCCTATGAAAAGTACTCTCAAAACTAACTTTTTCCTAATTATAATTAAATCTAGAATATTGTATTATGCTTAGTATTATTTCATTTTTCTCATTCAATTTAGAATTTACAAATGTCAAAAAATTGAGAGCTGTCACTTTTGATGAATTTCTGTTTATTACAAGATTAAATGTTATTATTAGTGAATGATATAAAAATCTAGATTATTAAGAATTTGAAGCAGTTCTGAAATCAACCAAATCTTGAATAAGATTATAATTGGTTATTTTTTGATTAAAATATTATGGCTATTACCTAATTCAAATCCAAAGCGTATAAGTCAAACTCAAATCCGTTTGAAAAATTTCAAAACAGTATAATTTTCTTTACTGCTAGGGTAATATTAAATATCTTAACTTATTGTTGAGAAAAAAATTGAAATCAATTTTTGTTTTTACTTCACTTTCTGATTGAATACTTCACAAAAATAGTATTGTAAAAAGAATAATTAGTTGATTTCTACTTATTATCAAATATACATTAATATTTAATGGCCGTGAACATTTGATTCAAACCGATATCCTTCAAAATATGTTATCCTCCTCGATATATCAATTGTTGTAATTAGAACTATTTGTTCTCTTACGGCCAATACGTTAAAAGTTTGTTAAATTGTAAAGATAAAAGAAATTTGGAATTCTCCAACTATTCAATATCGGGTAGTAATATCATGCACAGTCACAACAATTCTTATATGAATGCCAAAAATGGCGGATATGATAATGAAGAGGATTCCGGTGAGAGTAATGGAAATGATCAATGGACACCTGACCAAGACAAGGATGCAAGAGATGAATACACAAAAGAATATTCATCTGATCCTGATGAAATGAAATTAAAGAAAAAGCTCATCAGAAAGAAAGGAAGAAAGGCAAAATTCCTTGTTGAGCTAATGCTACAGGTTCAACAGGAGCAAGTGAACAGGCAAATAATGAGGCAATATGAGCAGCAAGCTGTCCCACAAGCTTTTGATCGCCAACCAATTAATCAGTATTCAGAGCCAAACTTCACACACAAACCGTTGCATCCTCTTCCTGAATTAGAAACAGTAGGGGCTAATCATATTCCTGGCGAAATTGATATTGTCCCGCGAGGAAAGCATTGATTTGCAAGTCAAGCAATTTAATTCCCAACATATTTGTATACGGCGAACTTACAAGCAACATTCATATTATATGAATTATAGTATATATTGTTAGCCAAACATTAGTTTGGATACTGTTTGTTAAAATAAATTTTTGACATATGATTATTTAACTCATTAATTTATGCGAAAATGTTTATGTCTAATGGTAAGTCATCTGCATGCCTAAGAAACTCAATGGATGGATAAAAAAACTGTCATAATCAAAATTTGTCGCAACATCATTCTGAATTTTCGTCTGAGAAGAATATGTATCAAAATGAGTCTAGCTGATTTTAATTATGTATGAAATGATCGGGTAATCCAAATGCCAGTTTTCATAATAAAAAAATTCCACCGTTTTTGTTTAATACTTATGTTTTGAAAGAACACATAAGAACATAAATGAATTAATGTAGAATTAGAGCATTTGATAAGAATAAAAAAAATAGACACGAAATATCAAGCATCGATGATTAATGCAAATGTTCATCTATCATTGTCTATATGTATATATTCTTCACTATATAAATAGATGGATATTGAAGTATTAGATAAAATTTGATCTGCAGATCCAGAATATTGTGAGGTAAAGTATTAGATAATGCTGCATTAAAATGTACTGTTCTTCTATTTTATCTTTTTCATGGAGATTCACACCATTGAAATAAGAATTTCGGCAGTTTCTTTACTTTTATTTTCAACTGCATAACGAAGGGCAGTTATTCCGTCTTCAACTTTTTCATTAATATTTGAATCATGTTAAAAGGAATGTTGGCAAGAAGATGGAATATCAAACGGTGCAGAATAAACAGAACGCTCGCTAATATCATACTTTTTTGATATTCAGCATGATTCATTTAGTTTCTGTAAATAAAATACCATTGCTTAATCTATTTTGCATCAATATACAAGAGAATGCCCTGGCTTCAAATTTATCCCAAAATTTCATTGAATTTTTCAAAACTCACCTTAAATTCCTAAAAACGGAGCGGTAATATAATTACATCCAAATATAAAGCATATGTGCTGAGAATTCAAATCAAACTTTAGGGTATTACAATTCCTCAAAAAAAAATTGAATAAATTCAATCAAAACAAAGATGCAAAGTTGAGCCTCATAAAATTTTTTTGAAATTCAATTGCAATGTGTTTGTGTATTGCATAACAAATCCCGATTTGAAAATAATATTTAATCAATATTTGCATGAATATATTCATGTCTGATCTATCCTCCAAAATATATTACTTTCTGAGGTTTTCTCAGCTCTTGAGAGAAAATATAAATCGAATAAAAAAAAATCACCGATAATTGTAATTTTAATCTGGTAGAATATAATAAAATTAATATTTCTGAAAACCAGCCCTTACTAAACCCTATGAATTTATAATATTTAAAATTGTTAAAAAATAATTGACGAATTTTAGCCATTTGTTGGCTTTTATTTTGAAAACAACAATGCTAAGCATATTTTCGAATAACTCTTTTTGATCCAAAATTTTTGATTGATAAAATAAATGCCAGCAAAAAAATTCGGATCTTTTGAATGGTTTACACGCCGTTGGTGAAAATTACACCTCAGTAGAAGTATCGTACTAATAATTTCTGCAGCTTAATTTGAAATTTAAAAGTGTTAATCGACTTTGAAATTTTACAGAGCATTCAAACCATTAAGATTGCGAATATTATAAATAATCAATATTCAACGAGCAGACACCCCCGCAAGGTTGATAATTGAATTAAAGACGATACGTTAATTGAAGCTCTCGAATATCGTTCAATTTAAATTTTAGTTATTTTAAATTCAGGCCGAAATGCAAGTGCGCGATAAATCTGAGCAGAAAGAAATCTCCCCACGTAGTCTTCCGAAGCAAAAATTTACAGATGAAGATGACCAGAAGCTTAGAAATGTCATTAAAGAGTTAGGCACAAAAAATTGGTCAGATATTGCAGCCGCAATGGGTAACAGAAACGCTCGACAGTGCAAGGAACGCTGGGAAAATTATTTATCTCCATCCATCAATAACACTCCCTTCACCCCTGAAGAAGATGCCTTATTATTAGAAAAACAGAAAGAAATTGGATCTAAATGGGTTACGATGAAAAATTACTTCGATAGAAGAACCGACGCTGCCCTTAAAAATAGATGGCAGATGCTGATTCGAAAACAGAAAAAATTACAAAATATTAGCATGAAAAAATCTGCAGCGAACAAAAGGAGAATGCCTAAATTCGAATTCCCAACCCCAATTAATATAGAGAGCCCGAATACAAAGCAAACTCCAATAAATATCGAGATCGTTTTCCAAGATATTGACCAGGATAGTCCCTCTATTCTTGGCCCAGATTGTTCCGAGTTTTCTGTGCAATCTTTAGCCCCAGATATGTTATTTACAATCGATTTATAAATGTTTGAAAAATGGTTCAATTCTTGTGAATTGAACATTGTTATGTATAAATATTGCGATTACAATTTTTTCTAATTCTCCCTAATACGACTAGGAAATTATTTTCAAGTCGTTATGGTGAATTGAGTGAAAAATGGTAAGAATAAAGTATAAAAATAAGAGTTCAAACAAGATTTTATAAAAATATTAACATAACAAATATAATATGAAAAATAATAAGTAAATGTATGTAATCGATGTAAAATGTCTAAATTATGATCATGATTTGGCTAAATTGTTCTTTATCCTTCGGATTACGCTATCATCATCAGTAAGCGATTTAACTTTGAATCCGTCAATTGCGCTAATATTGTATTCGAAATAATTATCCATAGAGCACATAATAGTGGAGTAATGAGTTTTATAAATAACAATCCAAATCTTTTCTTTAGGAACTGATAGCGTAGGACCGATATTATACTGTATAGATGTTTCATCTGCCTCAATTAAGCCGATTATCTGCTGTGAAGCAACAGGAATTTTAAGTAAGCCGTTTTCGATTGAATAAATATTCGAAGGTATATCGGATGGATATCCTGTAATCAATAATAGTATAAATCTAAGGGAAGCTTGACCTTCAGATGAAATTAATGGTTCATTGCTTATTGCTGATGATAATTTTGAAGGTCCTGCAACCATGCAAAAAGATAGCGCCAATAGGAGCATTGCCTGAGGATTTTCTAAGAAATTTGATTCAAGCAAATATTTGTTAGCGATTTCTTCGGTATTTGTCGATGAAAAGAAGCCAGATCCATCACTATTAAATCCTGTACAGAATATAAAGTTCTGCCCTCGTATCAATTTCATTATATAAATTACAACTTGTGCTAATAGCTTTTTTCCTTCCAAAGAAGGATATAACTTTCTAATGACGAATGCATATGCTTGGAAAACCGACATCATGCTCGATGTCTGTTCTGTACAATCAAATAGAATTTGCTCTCCACTTTGGTTTAGTGACATTCTAACACTACACTTCCATGAAGAAGGCACTATTTGACTATCACCCACGAGAAACTTTAGTAACTTCGAAAAATACTCGGGTATAAGACTAAAGTTTTCCATGAGCAATAAAAATTTCAATCATAAAAATTTCACATTTTTATTTAGTTTCCTGTATCCTTAATAGAAACAGGAGAGAATAAGATCACCGATGATATAAAATTGATTGCGTAAAGGTGACAAATTTTATAAAAAATTATGAATCCACAGCAGTATTTATCACCTATTGGAAGATGGGAACATCAAAATAGAGTAAGTAAATTCTTCCATCCCACAAAACAGAACTTTGGAATCAATAGACGCGCTGATGCAAATACTCCAATCGAAATCAATTTTGGACCCGTTCATTTAAGATGGCAGGACGGATCTTGGACTAACTTAAACCTTCCTGAACAACCAGCAAATCCAAATCCAACACTTCCAGAAATTTCTAAACTTCAACGTGAAAACGCACAATTACAAGTTGAGTGCGAGATTCTGCTTCATATGTTAACTGTTTCTGAAATGAAGAAAGTTAAATTTCAAAATAGATTAACTTCATTAAAAAATCAAATTGCTTCAATCTTAGAGCAAATCGAAAAAGAAGAAGAAAATATTGAGTAGAATTACTTGCTTAATCTATTAGATTTTGTTTATTTGATCAAAAAATATTATCAAACACTTTCTTTCCTGGTTTTATAACTATTTTCAGTAGGTCCATATGATAACAATTTAAAATTATGTATAACAAAACAAGAATTTCAAAATAATAAGAATAATCATCAAAAATTGCTTTTACTAATACTTCTAAAGTATTTTATTATAACATGTTTGAATAAAAATTTAACTATCAATATGAATTTAATGCACTTGTATTTTTGATCAAAAATAATTGTTCTATAGGTGGATCTGTATAAAGATAAAAAGATTTGTTTGGTAAATATCAACATTTAAAAAAATAAACAAATGATTTTCAAATAAAAAAAATAATAATTAGTTTTGAGTCTTATGGACTTCCTTGATAAGGACTTTTGTCATAACCGAACTTTCTTTGGCTCAATGGAGTTCTCTTCGGTGTTTCTCCTTTTAATGGGGTAGAAAGGCTATATGTAGATCGTGGAGTTCTTGCTGGAGAAACTTGTTCTTTCAAGTTCTCTGTTTGTCTGTAAAGTTTGTCTGATTGTGCAACTAAATGTGCCATTTGTGCCTTCTGGTATTCAGACAAAGCAGAAGAAGGAATTGGTATTTTTTGATATTCAAGAACAGATTTACTTAAATCGCTGTTACTCATTCTTAATCTTCCTATTTCATAAACAGCTTCTCTTGGTGTTGAAACATTTGATCCTAATGCTTCATAAATCGAAGAAAGAGAAGATCTCAATATATTTGCTTCTTCTCTTGATCTAGAAAGATTGTTTTCTTGTGTGAAAATTGTTTGTCTTGCATCTCTTAATTCATCAGCTTGTTGATGCAAAATTGGAACTAATTCATCAGGTATAGGATCTGTTTGCGATGAAGAATTTTTCTTTGGCTTGAATGCAATTCTTTGAAGCTCTTGTTTCGACTTCTCCAGCTCTCCAACAGTCTTTCTCATCAAATCACAATCTTTGGCCGATTCAGACAACTTTCTGACTTCAGTGGCAATTGATGCGGCATCTCTCAAGTTTGGAGGGATTCCAACAACTTCTCCAACTTTATCTTTAAGGATATTTGTAGTACTTATTAATTTTCCGATTGCTAATTCTATATCTCCATATGTCTTCTTTTCTCCATCGTATTGAATTCCCAACATTTTTGCAATTCCAAATGTCATCTCGTTTTGTCTTTCGAGTGTTTGTTTGTATTCTTTTTCTCTTCTTCTGATTTCGATTGCTCCTCTTGCCAAAGCTTCTGGCGTCTTTCCTTTAACACCCAATGCCTTAGACATCAGTTTAGTCTGCTGGTCTAATGATTCTTTGGTTTCTGTCAATGAATTCTTTGTGTTTCTTACAGCAGCTAAAATCATATCATTATTTGTTGTATCTAAAATTCCTGGAGTATCAATTATGTCTGCAATTTGTTGTCTGAGTTCGATACCATCTGCTTCTGTTTTAGTTAATCTCTCATTTTCACTCAGCAAGAAGTTAATTGCGCGCTTAATATCTTGGAAAGTTGAAACATTCATTAATTTTCCAATTTCTGCCATTTGTGAACTCAAATTTCCATTTTTAGTGATTAATTGACCAACAATTTCCTTTTGTGATGATGCCTGATAAACAATTGATCCATTTTCATCATTATTAACTGATTCGAAAATGGAGTTAAGTTCCTCTGACTGTTTATGCAAATCAGAAACAGCATCTTCGATATTTTCTGTTCCTAGGATTTTTGTTAATTGTTCTTGAGTTCTCTGCATTTGAGCAACTTTTTGGTAAACAACTGCTGAACTGTTATCATCATTTTCAACACCAACAAGCTCAGCAAGCTTCTTTTGTGCTCTTTCCATTTGAGATTTGTCTCTAATTAGTCTGTCAACATGTCTATCAACGTTTTCTTCTTCGTCAACTCCCAAAGTTGAACATAAAGATTTATTGTTCATTTGGGAAACATCTATCTCTGTTTTCAAGTTATCATTCTCTTCAAGAATAGTCTGTATCTGGTTATCTATTTGTGATGGATCTTCTGCTCCAAGAGAAATTGCAATTCCACTTAATTGAGTGTCACGTTTTCTCACTTCACTTTCTAATTTTCTGCAAACACCATGTAATGTTTTGATGTGTTCATTGATTGCATCTGGACTATTCTGCAAACCTAAGTTAGTTGTTATTTCCTGTAATGAATGAGAAGTTCCTGATAATTCATTAATTTTTCCGCGAATTTCCTTGAGAGGAGATCTCTTTGGCAAATCTAGAGCTTTGCAAACTTCTAGTTGATGCTTTGCGAAGTTCTTCATGAGATTATCAACGGAAGAAGCGATTTCTTCAACAGAAACATCAGCAGGCAAACCGAGAATCATTCTTATTTTCTCTAATGTTGATCTCATTAATGACAAACTTTCATCGAAAACTCTAGAACGATTTGAGAAAGCGCTCTGCATTTCTGTTAATTCTTTTGATGTTTCTTTGATTTGCAATCTAATATTCTCTAGTTGAGACTTCAATGTCTTGTTTTCTACCTGCAAAGATGAGTTTTCTTTTTTGAGATTTTCAATTGTTTTTGTGTTTTCTTGTAAATCCTTTGCTCTTTGAGCCATCAATCCAGAAACTTCTTGTTGTCTAGTCTTTTGGATCTTATCTAATTCATTTCTACTCGAGTTTTGTATAGCAATGATTTCTTCATGATGTTTATCGTTCATAGCGGTTATTTCTTTCAATTTTTGAGAGTTCATTTGGTCGAGTTCAATTCTATGATCAATTTGTAGTTTTTCAAGTTCATCATGGTGCTTTTTATTAAGCTCTGTTATCTCTTTGAGCTTCTGATTCTTTACTAAGTCCATATCAATTCTACTTTGGTTTTGCAAATCCAAAATTTGTTGATGATGTTGATCTTTAAGTGTTTGTAATTCATTTACATGATTTACTTGCATATTCTCTATTTCTTCAAGATGTTTTTCATTTAACGAATCTATTTCTTGATGATGTTTCTGTTTGATGCCAGAAATTTCTTTGGATTTCAAAGAAAACTCATTTTGTTGTTTTTCTTTCAACTCAGAAATTTCATTTGACTTACTGAGTTGTAACTGATTGAGTTTATCATTCAACTCTTGTATTTCTTTAGTTTTTGCATCTTGTAGTTTATCCATTTCTTGTTTGAAAGAATTCTGTAAATCCTTCATTTCGTTATGATGTTTTTCATTCAAATCAGAAATTTCTTTTGCAGAATTTTGTTGTAATTGGCTGTATTCAGTTCTACTTTGAGATAATTCTTGTCTTTGCTTCTCTCTTAGTTCATTTATCTCATCTTTCTTCGCTTGTTGCATTTGGTTCATTTCATCTCTCAAGTTCTTCTCCAAATCACTAATTTCATTGTGATGCTTCTCATTCAAATCAGAAATTTCTTTGTCTTTTGAAGAATTCAACTGATTTAATTTAAGTCTCAGATTTGAAAGTTCTAAGTCATATTTATCCTTAAGATCACTTATCTCTTTGTCTTTCTCTGCTCTAAGATTTTCTTTTTCACTTCTTAAGTTATTTTGTAAAAGTGACATTTCATTTTGATGTTTTTCTTTCATTTCAGAAATTTCTTTTTGTTTTTCAGAAATTATTTCTTGTGATGAACTCATGAGTTTATTTAACTTATCCTGTAACTCATTTGATGATTGGGAATACTTCTGTTGATTATCAGAAATGATTGATTCAATCAATTTCTTTGTTTCTTGTTCTTTATCAGCCAATTCTTTGATATGTTGTGCTTTTATGTCTGAGATCTCTTTTACATGTTGTAGTTTGATATTTGCTATTTCATCTTCATGAGAAATGTTCATTTTACCAATATCTCCTTGTAAATCAGCAATTTTCTTGTTTTGTTTTTGTATTGTTACATTTTGTTCATCAATTACATTTTGTTTTGCAGCAGCCAAAGAATCCTTTTCTCCCAAAGCAACATTAAGTTTAGATATCTCTATTTTATCACTTTGCAATTGATTATTTAGTTTGTTATTTTCATCTTCTAATTGTGTAATTTGTTCTGACAATTTTTGTTTTGCATTGATTTGTTCATTAACAGCATTCATTGATGTATCATTCAATGAGTTAATATGATCATTCAAAGACTGTATTTGTTGGTCCTTTATGTCATTAGAGTTCTTAAGAACAATAATGTCATGGTTTAATGATGATTTAGTTTCGTCTAAAGTTTGTGTCAAATTTGCAATTTCATTTTTATCATTTCTTATTTGTTCTTGTAATTGTTTGACTAATAAGTCCTTTTTAGCAGCATTCTCATGCAAAGCTTCTAAATTCTTCGTATTCTCAGCAATTTCTGCATCTTTCAGAGAAATGTTAGAATTTAATTTCGAATTCTTTTCTTTTAGATCCGAAATCTCTTTAATTTTACCTTGTATTGTCTGTTCAGAGCTTTCAACAAGTTTCTGATAGTTGTTTTTGAGTTCTTCGTTAGAACTTGTCAGATTTGAAACTTGAGAATTCAAAGAATCAATGTTAGAATTCATTTGTTGGTTCTTTGATGATAAATTCGAAATTTCCGCTTTCAAATCATTGATTTCTTTGGTTTTCTCAGTGTTTTCTTGTACAGCTTTCGCCAGGAATTGTTGGGTTTCTTCTTTGTTGTTCGCGTATTCGTTTTCCATCAATTTTTTGAGAACTTCGTTTTGAGAAATTTGTGATTTTAGAGTTTCAACTTGCGAATTAAGTTCCGTATTTTGTCTTGTCATATCCGCTAAATTACTCTTTAAATCCAAATTCTCTTTACTTTTCTCCGAAATTTCTGATGTCAGTTTTCCTATCGTTTCATTATTCTTTTGTTTAATTGTTTCCAAGTCTGATTTAAGTATTTGCAAGGCTGTTTCGTTATCTTTCAATTTGAGATTATTTACGTCATTTGATCTCTTGAGGTTTTCGTTTTCTGCCTTCATTTTCGCGAGTTCTGCCACTTTTTGAGAATTTTCATTCTTAAGATTTTCAATTAATTCAGAAGAATGTTTAGAAGAAGCTTCGTATTCAGCTTGTATTGTTTGTTTACTGTTTTCTAATGCAAGCTGTGCTCTTTTTGCAGCAGAAACTTCATTCATTAACCTTCCAATTTCTTTTGTTTTTTCACTACTTTCTGCTGATAAATCTTTAATTGCCTGGGAATGATTCTTTTTAGTTGCTTCGTATTCTGACTGCAGAATCTTTAGTTGGTTCGATGTATGGTCCAATAAATTAGCTGTATCTGTTTGTTTCCTCTTTGATTCAGTGATTTTGCTTTGAAGTTTCGCGATTGTTTCTGTTTTTTGTGCAATTTCATTTTGAAGCTTGTTTTCGAGTTCAGTTTGCTTCTGTTGAGATGATTTGAAGTCATTCTGGTACTGTTTGGCCTTGGCATTAAATGACTCGAGTTGGATTTCCATTTCTTCGTTCTTCTTATTTACAGAATCTAATTGATTCTTTAGATTGGCAATTTCTTTGTCTTTGGTACTGATTTCTGTTGAAAGTTTGGATTCTGTGTCGTTTAGCTGATCTTGTGTTGAATCTAAATCATCTTGTAAAGATTTTCTTTGTGTTTCAGTCTGTTGGAGCTTGGCCTGTGATATTTCGAATTCCCTATGCAATGTAGCATTTTGGGCTTGTAATTTTGCAATTTCATCGTTCTTTGAATTCAATTCATTATGAAGACCTTCAATCATGTTATTTGTCATATTACGAGTTGTTTCGATGGATGATTGCAATGCTTGTTTAGTGTTTTCTGCTTGTTGAATCCTTGAAAGCATCTCTGAAACTTGAGATTTCAATTTTGTTGCTTCTTCTGACTTGGAAGTGAGTTCTTGAGTAAGTTTCTCAACAAGTTCGTTTGAGTGCTGCCTGGAATTATCATATTCGGATTGAATTAATGACTTAAGATTCTCATTTTGTTGAAGTTGAGACTTTGTGGTTTCAAGAGATACCTCTGTCTCATGTAACTTCCTATTAGCATCAGCCAATTGCTCATTTAAGCGTTTAACTGTTTGTTTTGTTTGATCATTTTCGTATTCAAGATTTTTGATTGAATTTGCCTTATCATTTAGTTCGTTTTGTGCGTCTAATAGTTTGTTTGTCGTTTTTCCTAGCTCTGATTTAAGATTTTTTGCTTGTTTTTCAGAGGAATTTTTGGCATCTAACAAATTTTGGATTTGTGAAGGTATTTCTGAAGGATTTGATTTTAACATCTTTGTAATGGCGTCTTGTTGTTCTTTTAAGTTCTGATGATGTTGAATTAACTGTTTGATTGTTTCATGTGTTTTTTCAGGAGAACAGCCAAGACTTGAGATTGCTTGCTGTAGTATTTTATGGCTGTTCAATAAATTGTTGATTGTAGGTTCGATTTGATTATCATTTTTCAACCCAAGAACCGTTAGAATCCCGGATTTGATTGAAACTAACTCATCACGTTCCTTTTTGAGATTGGAAATGTTATCTGATGAACTCGATTGTAAACTCGATAGTTGAGTCGATAATTTGTTATTTTCTTTCTCCAAATTAAGTTTATTTTGCATTAATTCTTGTAACAGCGTAGGTATTTTGTCTGCATCTTTGCAGTTAATGGTTTTTGTGATGTTTTCAAGCTGTTTTTGGTATAATTGTTTTTCTTGTAAAAGATTAGAAACAACAGAGGCAATTTTATCGTCATCTGTTTGAAGCGAGTTCTTGAGATCTCCAAAAATTTTAAGAAGCTGAGCAATAATTGGAGAGTAATCCTTATTATCTTCAGATTTATCTCCGAATGCTTTTGCGATCAAATCATAAAAATCGCTATGTAGTTTCATGTTTTTGACCATTCTCTCTAGTTCTTCGAGAGAAATTTGATCGGGAATATCAAATAAATTCAAAACGAGATTTAAATTTTTGTTCTTTTCTAACAATTCTGTCTTAAGCTTCTGATTTATCGTTTTTAACTTCTCAATGGCCTTTTGCTGTTCTTCTGTTTGCTTCTTGAGTCGCATTGCTTGAATTTTATCGCCAATTAAGTCGTCAAATGTAGTTTGCAACTGATCATTAATTTCATCTCGGACCTGGAGAGAAAAGTTGCTCTCAGAAGGCGTTGCACGGATGCCAGGCCGTGCATTTGCCTCTTTTTCAGACATTTTTCAACAAAAAAATGACTTTTCAATATGAGCAATATTTTACATCTATTGTCGTCAAAAACGAATTTTTATTGTTCTCTTGAGTTCCTTTACTGACCCTTAAATTCTTTCAAATTTACGTTAATTCTCAAAATATCAAAATCTTTCAAAACTTGTTATTAACAGCTGGGCAATTCATCTCTTTCTCTGAACTTTGTTTGATGAAGTAGATTCATGCTTTCTGATATGAAGAGATAGAAAGCAGATATTAAAGAAATAAATCGATATATTAGTAAAAATTGCACAGACTTTGATATATTGTTAAAAAGCAAGCATATATCCTAATAATCTAGTTTTCATCCCGGTTTGGAATGATGAAAGAAACTCGAAAAGTGACATGACAATTCCTTACAGTACAACACCAATAATCTTTGATGTGAAAAATGGAATAGTATCAATTACAAAGCTAAATGCATCAATGTACAAAAAATTGAATATAAAAAGTGTCGGAGGAAGTTCACTTTGATAAGTTACATGTCAACATTTTTTGTGCTTGCAATTGTAGGTGTCATTGTTGTCATTGCATTACTTCTGGTCAAATTCCATTTATTCACTACCCCTGTTGTGAAAGAAGAATATATTTCAAAGTTCAAAGTAGTTTATACAACATTTGTTGGTCCATATTCTCAAGCGTACAAGATGTATGCTGTTGTTGAATCAGCACTTTCTAAAGCAAATGATGGCAAGGATTTCTCTAAAGTTCCATGTTTCGGAATTTATTATGATAAACCAAAATCTGTTCCAGATGAGAAATTAAGATCAGTTGTTGGTAAGATTGTTGAAGATAATGTTGAGATCCCGAACTCAGACGATGGAAGCATCAAATCAGAAGAAATAGAGTTAGGAGATGTTGTTGTTTCTCATTTCCCATTCCAATCCTTCGTTGATATATTTGTTGGAATTTCTAAATGCTACCCTGCTCTGAACAAATATACTGAAGAACACAAAGAAATTCAACTTGCAGGTCCAATGGTCGAATTATATGGCTATGTTCCAGAGAATATATCTTATATTGCACCTAAAGGAAAGAGAACAGGAATTCTCCAAGATTTCCCAGTAAAGAATTAAAAAATTATTTTATTTTTAACTATTCTTCATATTTAAGTGTTGTCAAAGCCAAATATCCTTAAAATATTATAATATCAATAGAGAATTGAATTAAAATTTTAAACATTTTCCAATAATTTTTATATGATTTCATTTTCCTTTGCAAAATACATGAATGCACATATAAGCTTTATTTCAAATGTATTTTTGAATGCCAATTATTGAATCCAGATATAAATGTAAATTTGGATATCAAATCAAAATTTATGCATTAAAACATATATAAACAGAAGATACTAGTGGGTATCATCACTATATCATTATGATACTATAAATTTTATTAATATAAAAATTATGATAAAAAATCATGGTAAAAAATTTATTAAATATACAAACAATATGGTTGAAATTGCAATGTTAATGTTGTTGTTATATTCCGAGGATCATACTAATGAAATGAGTTTGATCAAATGGAGAAACATCAATGTATTGGTTTTTGCAAACATAATATAAGTCTTTGACGCAGTCAAGAAGTGCGTAGTTGTTTGATTCTGATGAAAAATTGAATAATGATTCTTCATGAAGTTTTTCGTCTAATTTATCCTTAGAGTCAATATATTCTTGTATTACCTCTTTCATATGAGTCGAAATCTTATAGCTTGGGACAGTTTGTTTGATTTTAGGTTTCTCATTTAATTTTATTCTATTTTCAGCAACAATTTTCTCAACACGATCTCTCAATGCTTTGTATTTATCAGCTCTTCTCTTGAAAACATCATGATTGTATTTTTCTTGTTTGATAACAATTAATCCAAGAATTTGTGAGATACTGTATATCTTTTTCTTAAGAAATTCAATGTTTTGCTGTGTCTTTGCTGATTTTTCACGTACTTCGTTGATCTTATCTTTAATATCTTGTAGAGATGGTTGATTTTTAATAAATTTTGCTTCATTCCTAATTGCTTCAATCTTTTCGAATAATGCAACAGTTTCTTCTGAATGTGGTGCCTCTAAATCCTTTAATATCTGTGTAATCAACTCATAATCCATTTTTGTCAAAAATAAAAGTCACTTTTTTCTCAAATCCAAGAATTTTTTTGAAAAAATGGATGATGGCGGTCCTATTGGTGGTAAACACGGAGCTGGCGAATACAATGAGCAGCTATCTAAAATTGCTAGGGCAAACAGGCTTCAAACATTAACTGGATCCACAGTAAATTTAGAAAATGACCAATATTTAATGCGTAACCAAAATGGTTTGTTAGAATGCAAGTTATGTTGCACAACTCATAAAACCGAAGCAAGCTATCTCAATCATACCTATGGAAAAACTCACCAGAGAAACTTAGAGAGAAGAAGAATTACATTAGCCAGAAAGGAAGCTATTGCTGGTGGTATTCGTTCTGGTACACAAGTCAAAGTTGATCCTGCAAAAAATACATTAAAAATCGGTGATCCTTCTTTCGAAGTCATTAAAAAACGAGATATAACAACAGGAAATCTTACTATTCTAGTCGAACTTGGATATCCTGATATAAAGAAGTATACATCACCAAAATACAGAATAATGTCAACATATGAACAAACAGTTGAGCCCCCAGATCCAAATCACAAGTACCTTCTTTTCGCAGCAATTCCATACAACACTGTTTGCTTCAAAATTCCTAATATGAATATAATAAATGATAAAATCATCGAAGATTGGAAACCCCATGAAAAAAAGTATACTTTCCAATTAACCCTTACACCAAATGTTGATCAATAGATTAGTATTTACTGTTTTAATACATTTGGAAAAAAAATTATTAGCAAAATTTTCGAATTTTAGATTGTTTGAATAATATATTGTTATGTAATAAATTTTATTTTTCTATACTCATAATCTTTTCTCATTACCAATAACTTAACTTGAAATAAAATTTCATTTTTTATTTGAAAATTAAAACTAAGAAAGATACCTTAATATCTTTATCTTTTTTGTTCCTTACCTTAATATTTCTGATCCTAAAATCTTGTCACTATGAATTAATCCTTTTCATTAAACAATAATTTAACTCAAATATAGTATTTTAGTATCTAAAAGCTATCTAAATGGAAATTCAATAAAATGATAATATAAATCTACATAATAAATTATATATTTATTCATTAGATGAATGATAAATGAGAAACTTCTTTTCTCTCTTCGGGTGAATCATTTGAGTCCTTCTTCTTCATATCAATGAGAATGAAGACTGAAATTACTATTACAGCAACAATAAAGATAGAAAGTACTACAACACCAGGAATCCACTTCTTATTTCCATTTCCATTTTCACCATTTCCTTCTGTTGAATTTGTGTAATCAGATTCATTTACTTCTTCCATCTTATGCAATATCTCTTCTTGGTATTTTAATTTTGGCCATGTTGGCGGATTTTCAACAACAAATTCCATTGCGTTGACAAATGTTTTTGTGCATCCAGGACTTCTGTTAAAAAGACCACCATTTGATTCTTTTGTGATAATCTGATAAACAGGATCAGACCATGTATATTCATCTACAACAAGATTCTTTGGACTAACTCTTATCTCTCCCTTGTTCGGAGGGAAATAAACAGTAAATCCGGAACCAGATGTTTTAGGACCTTGGCATCTAACGCTATATCTAATACTATAATTTCCTCCTGAGTTGAAGTAGTGCATGAACTTATTGAATGGTCTAAAGTAATAGTTTGGCTCCTGATACATGCTATGGAATGAAGTAACACCTGTAAATGATTTGTTATCAGATTCGTAGCTGATTCTACCAATTTTTTCGTAGTTAAGGTAAAAATCAGGAATAACAATTCTATCACCTTTAGCAAATCCCCAAGGCTTTGATGAATCATGGGATGTTGAATCTGGTTTTTGTTCGAATGATGGAGCATTTGGATAAGAATCATATGGAGTGAAAATGAATCTCTTTGAGAATGACCTTGTTTGACCAAAATCGATCCAAGGAGTTGAGAAAGTAACTCTAACTTTCTTTGATGTTCTATTAACATGAATAACAAAGAAATCATAACCAATTGGAAATGTTATTTCGACACCTTTCTTTGTTGTTGCATCAATGATTACTAATTTTGTTGATTTGTTTAGTTTCTTACCGAAATGATCAAATTCCATGTTGTTTTGTAACTGATGGTAATTCCATTCACCATTGTCCAATTTATAAGCTGTTCTTGTTGCATCTCCTAAGTCAAATGCAGCTGTTACAAAATTGCGATTATTATAAAATTCTGCTTTTCTTTGGTAATTAAAGTCAACTGTTAAAGATGTTGGCGAAGCTGTCATTGTTTTTGTGATTGCTTGACCAGCATCTTCATATTGCAATGTAGCGGAATTTGCCGTTGTTGACTTCAATGTATAATTCCATGATGAAGGAGCTGTGATATCAGATCTATCGTAAACAACAAAATCGATACCTTCTGGTTTCAAAAATTCCTTTCCTGACTTTGTCAATGAGATGATTCTTCCGAAAATGCTGTGGTCACCTGTAACAGCTTTGATTGGATCACTTGTAGCAGTAATAGCTGGTCTGTCATCAATGAGATTCTTAATTTTTTCATAAAACGTTCTTTCCCATCTCAAGAAGCAAACGCCATCTAAATATGGATCTCTCATTTCAATACTTGGGCAGCTCTTCAATATCAATTCGATGGCTTCTTTCATCTTTGGTGTTGCACCGAAATTGACTTTATCTCCTTTAACATATGGCTCGTTATTTCCACCATCTCTTGCCATGAAAAATTGAGAAATTAAAACAGAGACTCTTGACATTTCAATATTATATGTGTATCTTGAATTTCCATCGTTCTTTGAAGCTTCAATTGCTTGATCGAAAAGCCATTTTGCGTGATCAACAAATTCTCCTGGAACAAATCTTGGAACTCCGTGATGAGAATACAGATATGAATTTTTACAGTCCGTTCTCATTAAATCTTCTGTATCATTGAGAAATTGAATGATATAAGGAGCAGCAGATGGTCCGTAGTAATTGTAGCAGAAATCATCTCGACCCCAAGTATCATTTACCCATGGATTCCACATCAACTTTGAGAGTAAATATGTTCTGTATTCAACCATATCGCTATGATATCTTGGTGCCAATGAATTGTCTTGTCCTATATATTGTTTTACACTATGTTCAGCATAGAATCTCATGTTTGGTGCTAAAACATGATATAATGGATTGATACCCATTGGAGCTCCAAAGTTTCCTACGTAATCCCAAACAGCTAACTTCTTTGTGAGTTTTTCCCATAAAGGAACTCGCAATTTGAAATAACCTGCTTCTGTGTCCCCACTTTCATTAATTGGGTGTCCATAATCTATTTCAATTGGGGCCATTCTAACAATAACATTTGGATGGACTTCAATGTTACTAGGTGGAGATAAAGTGTAGAAGAAAGCAAATGTTCTAAACTGAAGCTTTGGATATTTCTTGTTAATTTCTGTTGCAAGTCTATTAACAAATTCAATGTTAACTCCTGAATACCTTCCATTGTATCTTGCTTGATGTTCTCTGCAAGTTGGGCATTCACATGCAGCTCCTGCATCATTCTGGTTCACTTCAACCATATATGGTTCTCCATATTTCTCTAAATCGGACAAGATTATATTTAAGAAAACTTGGTAAACACCTTCATTTGTTAAACATGGTTGGGCGTAAGACCTTACGCCTCCGATCAGGCCCCAATATTCTGGATATTTACTGATAGGATATTTATCTGGTGGCATGATTTTGTTAAACGACTCAACTCTATAGAAATCTGTAACACTGCCACCATATTCATCGAGATTGTCTTCATTAAACCTGAGATGCAGACTGTTCTCCCAGAATGCCTCTACTTCTGAATTGTAAACTGAGCGTTGAATCATATGAGAAACTGATTTAATATTTGTATCTGATGGAATTGAAAAAGTTTCACTCTTGGGAAATACATCCATCCTTGCTGATAGCCAACGAACCTTTCCAAACCTTTCAAATACTTCAAATACGCCATATACGACACCACGATTTGTGGTACCAAGGATAATTAAGTCTTCATTATCATTAAACATAATTTCAAAGCCATCCTGTTCTCTCTCAGCGTTCGTTATCGATATTTTCGGTGAATATTTGGTAGGACCTAATAAAATTGCCTTCTTTGGCTTTGGTTCATTGTCCATTACTACCTTTAGATCTCCACCAGTGATTTTTTGAATAGCATCATGGAAAGCCTTTGATGCTCCCTATCTCCATTTTTCTGAATCCTTGTTTGCATTGTATGGAATGACAATGGCATAGTCGCTTGTGGTTCCGTTTTTAGAAATAACAATGTCCTTAGCTCGCGAAAAGTGTAGTAGTGTTAAAAAAAGCATGAAAGTTTTTGAGAAAATTATTTTCAACGGCACTTCAGATCTGAAATTTTTATAACACTTTGGATCTGCAATAAACTTTTAACCCTCCTGACTGAATAATGTATATCATACATTATATTATGAGATAACACGATATTTGGCCTGAACTAATAACCAACTGATGTTTTTTCATTGAAAATTTATCCATTTATTTGGTTGACGAATTTTTTATGGCTATGATAAGATATGATAAGTACATTTGGAATATTGGCAATTAAATTAAATATATTCAACAATTTTTGATAAATTTTTAAAAAATACGAGATAAATCAAAATGCTACCTCTAAAAGTGGATCTTCCTCGTATGTATAATGTCCGATCATCTATAAAGGTAAATATGCCAAGTGATTATTTTGCTATCGTATTCATATGTTAAAATAAAAAAAATCATGGAAGTTATATAGAACTATCAAACAAAGAAAAATATTTGATCTCAAGGCTATCATGAAATATGATTTTCTATCTCTTTGATAAGAAGTGTTCTTACTCAAACATTACTTGGACCTTAACATTATTATTTAATGTGAATGCAAATTTTATTGTGTTAATGTCATTATGAGTAATGATTACAAAGATTCATTAAATTCAAATGAAGGCTCTAATCAAAATCCTAGCAAATCAGTTAATCTACAACATCAAGTTCCTGAAGAATCGTATAATGAAGTACTAAATAAGGAAAAAATTGAAAAAATTATACCAGATTTTTTTAATAATCCAAATTTAGTAATGAAAGAGCTATCATCAGCTATATCTCAATTAAAAAATGTAGATTACAATTACTTTAAGTCAACTAACATTCATGATTTTATTATTGAATACATTTTGCAAGAAACAGACGATTCATTATTCTATGATGCATATACAATATTCTATTTAACTACAAATAGAAAGATATTTTCCTCAGAGACCCAGATTTTAGGATGTTTTATTGAAAAAACCATTGAATATATTAGACATCATGAAAGCAATGCTGATTTTCCTTTAGCTTCTTTATCAGTAATTGCAGCTTCTTCACAAGATTTTATAGAAACCTTTCTTGGATCAGGATTCTTTGATTTTGTATTTTCTATTGTCTCAACAGAAAATATTCCAATCAAGCTTGTCGCTATTGCAGCATATCTAATTAGACACTGTATTACTTATATTCCAATTCAAGACGCACCAAAAATAGTTAATTTAGGCGTTTTTATATTGAAATTAAATGTTTCTGAAGAAATAGAATTGAAAGTATTTAGTGGATTTTGCGATGCTCTCGATCGCATTGACTTAATGCTTTATTTACTTGAAAATAACTTTTTAGAAGAAATTATTACATTATTGGAGCTAAATGATAAGATAATAACATACGGATGTCTATCATTTATAGAAATCCTTGCTAATTTTAACTTTCCTGAAGACGAAGATCCATATTTTCCTCATCCAATTCAATTTATTTTAGAAACTCCTTTAATATCTCATTTAATTCAACTTATTTTCAATGAAGACCAAAACGTATACGAAACTGTTATAAATATTCTGCATAGATTCATTGTTTTCAATGGAGATTGCCTAGATTTAATCTTAAATGAGGATTCTGTTAACAAAATGTGTGAAATTATGGAAGAATCATCATTTGATTCACAAAGAATGGCTGTGTACTTCATCTGTGAGATAATAGCATGTACACATAACTTAAAATTTTGGGAACACATTGTAAACAAAGGAGGAATTGAAGGAATTTTGCGAATTCTCGAATCAAATGATGATAAAATGACAAGAGAAATCATTACAGCACTCGAACATGGTATTTCAATTCTCCCTGAAACAGTAATTCCTCTTATAGAAAATGGAGCTATAGAAATCTTAGAAGAACTTGCTCAAGATGAAGAGTGCTCCCATCCTGATGCCTGCATGGCTCTTGTTAAGAGAATTAAAGTCGAGGCAAAGAGAATTGCAAAAAGGAATCGTTAAATATAATATTTTTCGTAATGAATATTAAATATAAAGTATAGAGTATTATTTAAAAAATACAAATATATGATTTTTATATGGATGTTTATTACTTGAGAGTTCTAATATGTGTGTGTGAAGATATATAAGTTAGAGTACCTGAAATGCGTTATAAACATAGGAAAAGGTTGTAAATGACTTCTTACTGATAAGCTATGATAAGAACTTCTATGAAAGAATAAGCATTTATAAACTAGCAAAAAACTTGCAAATATCGTTTTCATAGACATTTGTTAAGTGATTCACAGCATCAAGAAATGATTAGAACTCTTTAAGAATGTTGAGAATTATTGAAAAGTAACAATTTTCCGCTTTTTAAAAACCAACTGTAAAACTGTAGATGAAGTTTGAAGCTAATGAAATATAAATCAAATGATAGCTCAATATTATTTTATTCATGATAAGTTAATTATTCTAAGAATTCTGGCTTTCTACATCATTATTAGGCTCAGTATCCTCATTGTCTAAATTCTGGTTGTCTGAATTTTTATTTTCTGATGTCTTTTTGGCAGCTTCTTGTTCCTCTGAATTTTTATTTTCGGCACCTTGATTTTCAGAGTTTTGGTTTTCGATATCTGGACTCTCAGTATCTGCCTTTGAAGATAATTCATTTTCATCTTCTGTCTTTTCTTCTTTACTTTTTTTAATTATCTGATAAAATGGCTTGAAAATTAAAATGGATCCGAGTACAAGGCCAACTACTGATGTGATCCAGAAACACCACATAATTTTCTCTGGTTGATGTGGGTGCACCGCATCAATGATGTAAATTGAAGCAAGGAACGCTAAAAAGTTAGAAGAAAGGCTGACAATCATGGCCCTCTTTCCTCTTTGTTGACTTTGAAGCATCGAAATAAGTGTATACTTAATGAACATCACAAATGTTGCCCAATTAGCTGCTTTTAACTCTTTAACAGCCCAATCTAAAAATGCCTCGCCGTTTCCAAATAATTTAGATAATGGCTTTGCAAGTGCGATGACAATAATTTCTGAAATTATGCACCAAACAAAACCAATCCAATTAAGGTGAATTGTGAGGGCAATATATCTCTTATACTTTTGAGCAGCATATGCATAAGCTCCAGGGGCAAGGAAACCGGCGCATAAGGCAAGGTTTATGGCTGTTATTAAGGATGTGTATCTATAAGCGACATTCATTCCACTCATCATAACATCATATTTGCTCTTATCTATTAGAGATTTGCCCATAACACGTCTCATAAAAATGGCTGGAACAGCATTACTAAGCTGAGATATGAATTGAGAGCTTCCAACAACTATTGCTTGATATGTATGCTTACTGAAAGGTTTGATGAGTCCAGAGAGCTTTGGTTTTGTTCCAAACTTTCCACAAAAGAAGAGAATTGTTAGAATTATTCCAGGAACTGCATCAGCAATGACAGTTGATATTGATGGACCTATAATTCCCATTTTCAGCTTTCCCATGAAAAGAGGATTTAGCACTCCCATACCAACTCCAAGAGCAATCACGTCAATAATTCCTACAAGTAGAGTTCTTCCTTCTGCTTGTAAAATTCCGACATTAGTGTAAAAGATACATGTGAAAACGTTCCCGGCTGCCTGAGGAATAATGTATTTTAAGGCCATCTCTGAAGTTTCTTCTGTTGCAAGGCACCATCTTGCATATGGTTTTGTAACAGGTATTAATATTGCAGGAACAATGCATCCACTAACAAAACATAGCCTATACAGGTCACAAACAACCTGTTGCGCATCATCAAATAGCTTTTTTCCATAAAGAGAAGATATTTGTGTACTTGCTGCAATAGAAAGAAACATGCCAAATGCTCTGCTGATAAGTTCCCATATAACAACAGTGGCAACTGCTGACATTCCAACTTCACCAACATATTTTGATACCCAAAACGTATTTATAATTCCATAAAGAGTACTTGTAACCTGGGAACAAAGCGGTCCAATGCTCAAAATTAGTATTGTTTTTAATGGTTGCCTTCCCGCCAAACGTTTTATCTCCTCAGAGAAACAATAATGAATTCTTTCTCAAAATTATTTGAAAGGATACTAGACAGTGTTGAATAGATATGTAAAATCTGATAATTTTGATTTTCTGAACAAATTTATAAAGAAACTTTGCTGAAAGGAAAATATTACTTGATAGATCCAGTAGTTTATTTTCTTTTAGCGATTGTTTTTTATGGACGGTTATTGATTCAGAATGGGTTCGTTTTTATCTCTCAAAAATTTAAGAAGTTATTATCCATTCTGAAGTTTACATTTTAAAATTTCAAGAAGAAAATTAACAAGAAGATGGCAGTTGGATTCCTATCATTATTTTCCAATTAAGTTTAGTAATCGATTTTGCTATTTTCTCAACGATGAATCCTTCAACCCGTGAAGTTACCCCCTCAATTATCTTTTTGAACCACACTGTGTTTATGCAGCATAATTTATATAGAATTTGAGCTGTGTATGATAATGTGGATATGTTTCATAATCTAATATAAATAGATACTTTAATTAAAAATACAAAACAATAATAGGTGATAATTAGTGACAATACATATGAAAATTTCTCACTCACAAACTCTTTTAAATCGAAATTTATTGATTTATGATTATAAAAGTAAATTTTTCCAATTAAATTTACATTATAATCGAAATAAATAATAAAAATGTAATAATTTAGATATGAATCTAATTATGATTACGATATCAGATGATTGCATTAGAGAAGTGATAAAATAGAAATGAATAAAGATACTTTTAGTATTATTTTAAATAATCATAAACAAAATATAGCTAACTACTGAGGGTAAGCTATCGAGCGCTCTATGCATTGTTTTTTATAGTAATTCCGCATTTCATGTAAAGTAATTGGAGAAAGATTATTAACGTCAAGAATTAAAGTTTCTTGCTCTAGATTTGCTTTCGGCTCGTTCTTCTTAAGAATTTGTGATATTGCTTCTAAATCTTGTGGTTCGTTGATAATTTGGCTTGCTTTGATGATTTGCGAAATTTCTTGAGAAGTAAGCGGTTCAATAATTAAGGATGGGTGTTTGTTAAGCTTGCTTGTAATAGGTCCGAGTGAAGGAGGTGCTTGAGCTAAAAGTTTCTCAAAATCTTGACGAAGATTATATATATGCTTTGTCCAACCAGCTAAACTGAAGTAATCAAGGCGTCTCTTAAGTTTCTTAAAGTGTTTAGCCATATGTTCTGCTAAATTGCCAACAAAAGAGCCTTCTCCGTTATAAGAAACAGCGTTTGACCAAACGGTATTGATATCCTGCTCCCACTGGGTAACACTTTCATACTGAGAAGCTTCAATTCTGTGCATAATTGTTCCTAAATCTTGAGGGTTTCGAATTTTTTTCAAGTAATTTGGAGCTCCTTGTTTTTTTGGATCGACTGGCTCATTAAACATCTCGGCTCCAGGACTTGCCTTGAGTGCGGCAGTAATCTCTATACATAACTGCTGCTGCTCAGGAGAAAGTTTAGACATTATTGCGGGAATTTTACAATAATCGCTCAATTTGTCAAATTTTAGCATAATTTTTTTCACAAAAAAAAATGAGTGATAAACCATATTATAAGTTCAGAATTAAAGAAAATAGAGTATCTACTACTGACACAAACTCGACATCCGATCGAACAAATAGTAATTCAAAGAATTCTAACTCAAGTTCTCTTACAGAAATTATTGAAGACATTGAAAAGTTCCAAAAGGTAATTACGTCCACAGAAGCTAAAGACCAATTGACTAGATATAACATTCAGGCCTCTCTTTTCTATCAAGAAATCGATACAGATAAAAATTCACCAGATAATCGCTTTGGTGGCTATTTCAATATATCAACAGACTTAAAATACGTGACATTTCGAATTTTTGTATATTTGATACTCAAATGGATGAAAGGAGAACTCAGTTTTTCCGATAAAATTAATGGAATTATTTTTAATGCAAAAAAGCAAGTCGCATATTGCCAAGTTTGGGTAAATGATGGATTTAAATACGATGTATTGCATACCAGATATGAGGAATTGGCCGAAATTATCATGGGCAAACTTTATGTTCCTCATAATCCGAAAAATTCATCAGCAAAGAACGAAGGATCGAACTACTTATATTCATTAGAATTCTTCCCACATCAAAACTACAGAGATACATCTCCATCAAAGACCTATGGATACAAAGTTAAACCATTTGGCCAAATAATGGAAGAAGTCTCTCCAGACATTTTACAGATACCTAAAGAAGCAAAATTTAACATGGGTGTTGCAACAACCCATAAGATTTTGTGGTCTTTACGTAGAGAAAAACAAAGTTCAAATCCAAAATAATTTATTCTTGTTATTTAGCATGTAGTTTATAAGTAAACAATCTGTTTTTATTATACATAATATAAACACACTCTATTTTTAATCTTTTATACAAAACAAACAAAGCATTATAAAATTATTTATATACAAACATCTATATCACAATCGCTAGGTGATTTATTCTGCAAAAATGGTGTTCATGAGAGTTTCTGCAATATCTATTAATTCATCATTTGAATAATCAGAAATAACTTCTTCTAATAACTCTCTTGCTTCGCATTTATGCTCATCAGATATGATTCCTTGATTAGATAAGGAAGAAAGAATAGGAAGTACAGTTTCTTTTGCAAAATTAACAAATTCAGGAGTTTCAAGTTTCAAAATGTCCAAAAGTATAAGTAGGCATTTGGGAGTTAAAAAGTTGGCTACTAAATCAATGCTTCCTTTTGATATCAAAACCCATAATAAATTAATTGTTTCAATTTTGATTTTCATAAATGAACTATCATAAATATCTAATAAATAATCACAGAAATGAGATTCTAAGAGACGATTTGAAAATTCAGGAATAAAAGAAAGATTTGAAAGCATTGTAATAAGGGGAACAATATAATCTTCCTTATCTCTATATATGCACATAATATTTTGCATTCTCTCCAAATCCAAATTCAATGAAAAATCTTTTAAGAAATCTTCATTCGAAAATGCAACATCTGAGATAATTTGAGCTATTTTTTGTAAAGAACTTTGCAAGTTTGAATCATATAAGTAATCCATAACTCTATCGAAAAAGCCAATTGAAATTAAGATTTGAACTGATAGCTTTTTGTACAAATCATATACAATTTGGAAATAGTGCTTGGATATTCTATAGAAATTGTCTGAATTTTGAAGCTCAACTACTAATTTGGTAAAAAATTCTTCTTTATTTTTGGTTTCTCCTTCAGAATCAAATTTAATATACTTAGAAATGAAGCCAAGAGCCAAATACAAATCTTCATAGCTCACATCGAATGATTTTAAAATCTTTGACTGAACTTTCGAGATAATATAGCTTATGATATTTGAAGAATATATATAAGCTCGACTATCGTCATATTTCATAAGAATTGTGATATTTTTATAGATTGCTACATCTATTTCAAGAATGTTAAGTGATAATAACTGAATTAATTGTGGAATTGGATTAATGTCAATATAAATCTGAGAAGCATCATTAGAAATAGTATTTAAATGCGTAATTAGCTCTAAACATGTGATTTTCAGCTGTAAATTTTCAACATTTGATAGTAAGTTAAATGTTTTTTCAATAATTTGTGTCTCCAAGATCTTACAAATGTCTGAAACAAACTTTAGATTTTGTAAAATCTTATTTATTAGATCATCTAAGGAATCTAATTGCAAATTTTCAATTTTAGTAACGGCATCTAGAGTTAAGCCAACACAGAATGCTTCTTTGTCAATGTTTTCTGATGTTTCTAAGTCATTTTTCATAAAAACATTTTGGGCATTTGATCTAAATCCATTAAACATCAATGATAATTGACAAACAATCAATTAAATTCTCAAATACTCCCTAAATTCATTCGAAATGCTACTATAGTATCTTATGTATTTTCAATTTTCGAGCATCAAAAAAATCTAATTAACAGAACTGAATTTAAAAATCTTATCTGAATATCCATTGTCAATAAGTAATTTAAATTGTGTGCTCAAATTACTATAAATTTAAATGAGAAAACCTTTATTTCAAATAATTCGTGTTAAGCTACAGTTTAGATGATTCGTCAAAGGGTAACCCTGATGTTGAAACTAATGTCTTTGCAAAAACGTACATATTTAACTATCCTTGTCCCTCAAATGATAGTTGCACTGATTACGTTATTAATTTCACTTCTGGAACCTATAAATTTGAATTATATGGTTCATCCGGCGGATCTTTCCCAGGAAGTTTATCCTCTTATGTGATTTCAAATACCTCTTGTATATCTCAAGATGTCATTAGGAAAGTTAATGGCAATACCAAATGCAATTTGAAAGGAAGCCGTGGTGGAGCTGGTGGATATATATCAGGCGTCATAAAGCTTGATAAAAATCTGACAGCTTATGCAACCATTGGTGGCCAAGGAAGATATGGTTTTAATAACCCTAGCCAAAACGGTGAACTCGATTACTCCATCTACATGATCAAAGGAGGATATGGTGGCGGTGGATCTGCTGCTAATTGGTATCCATCCCCAATTATTTATGGTGCAGGAAGCGGAGGCGGCCAAACCGCTGTTAAATTCGAGAAGAATACTCTTTGGCATCGCGTAATCGTAAGCGGCGGCGGCGGTGGATCCGATAATTACTATGAAACCGACCTAATTGGAAAAATGGACGATGGATCAGGAGGTGCTGGCGGTGGGTTTAGTGGACAAGGATTTTGGATTGATGGTGAGTACGTATCTACTAAGCTTGCAACATCAAGTTCTGGTTTCACATTTGGAAATGGTGAATCTGCCCAAAGATATGGTTCCAAGAACGAAAAAGGATTCAAGCCTGAAAAGGGAGATAGTGATAGGCCTGGTGCTGGCGCTGGATGGTTTGGAGGCTTCGCTGGGCATCACGGAAACGGTGGTGCCGGTGGAGGTTCTTCATCGGCTTTGTCATCGGATGCTTACATACCAGAAGACTTAATTACAGCATATGATAATAATTACGAGGAATTTGAGTCTCACTATTATGAATTTAATAAACAATCGGGATACCTTTTCCAAAATGTAGTGTCATATCCTGGTGTTTGGGAAGGCAATGGAAAACTTGTGATTACTGTTCTTAAACAAGAATATTATAATTATATTATATCAGGTTGTAAATTGAAGGCTTATAGTAATAATTATATTTGTCAACTTGGATTTGGATCTGTTTATCTCATTAACTTAATCATGTATTTAGGATTTTTTTAATAAAAAAATTATTTAGAAGACTTTTGAAAACTGGGAACCTCAATAAGAAATATCTCAAAAATTTACCGCTGTATCCTCTTTATTCATAATATCTAAAGAAAAATAATACAAAATATGAAATTTCAAACACGAATAAGCATATCATATTGATGCACTTGAGCATTGTTAGCAATAAAATCAAGGTCTATTAAGCTATCTCCATAATTTCCACCATTCTTAAAGTAGCGACCTTGAACTTTGTTTGAGTCAACGTTCTCTTTCTGATTAAACTGAATTGGTTGCTGTGGAGAAGCAGAACATTGGCTATAATCCTCAAATTCGAATGAACTTAGATTCTGATAATTATTTGTTTGTTTTGTTGGGGCAAACAAATCAAAAGATTGATTTTGCTGTGAATAAAAGAATGGTTGCTGAGAACCAGGCTGCAAGTGGGATTGTTGGTTTGGATTTTGTTGCTGGAAATTATTAAATTGCTGTGGTTGCATGAATGGATTTGTAAAAGGTCCTGATGATGATTGAACGTCCAAACTTTTGATTCTGGAATATCTCTTTGAGCCGAAAACATTTTGTTTTTTCTCTTCCAAATAAGCTACTTGTTCAGCAGAATAGGAGTTGTCTAATGATCCAGAATCAATATCTAATAATCCGGAATCCATCATCTAGAGAGTTGATGCAGAAATGAAATGATTTATCCGTCAGAAAATTGAATACATTAGAATTTGATCTTAATTTGGACTTGAAAGGAACTATATTCGTATACAGAGTGTTGGATGTTTATGCTATTGTTCTCATTCAATTCTGACAATTCAACTGTTTCTGAAGCATTTACCGGAAGAATTTCAATGAGATTCTGAAGACAGAAAAAATTCATTGAAAATTATTTTCTTAAAGTTGTCCATTGCAAACAATAGAAGTAAAACCGATGTGAATAAACTTTTGAGATTTCAGATAAAATTCTTTACAAATGCATCCGAAAAACTCTGCTATATCCAGCTGAAAGATTTAAAATATATGCATCTAAACTTTAGAAATAAAGAAATCATTGATTAATTTTAATATCTAACCTTTTTTATGAAGATTTTATCCAAACAAATTTCACATAATAAAATTTTGCGCCAATACAGAAATAACGATTTTGTCATCACTATAATCTAGTTATTATCTTCTCAGGTGGATCGGATTTTACTACCAACAAAATTAAGGAATTATCATATGAAACAATATCAACATTTACTTGTTGTCTTCTTCCAGATTAATAGCGCATACATGTGAAATTGATGCGATATCCATATGTTTTATTGAAACAAAATTTAGATCAAAAATATTGTGAATGAAAAGAATATTCAAGGCTTACTCTTGATAACAAAATACGGACAGATTACATCATTAAGATATCTGGAAAGAATATGGAGTTGATTTCAGATTTCCTTATTGAATTAAACGAGATCTAGCTTTTAACAAGGATAGGATGAATAACATAAGGCATTTTAATAGAGGATTTTTCTGTTTTTGAAACATAAATACATATAAAAAAGATATGAAATTTCAAAATTCAAAGTTTTTTTTATTAAATTAAATGAAAGCATATATGAAAAAGATATATTGGATAAATTAAATTCTTTATTGTTCAAACACAACGCCACCATTTCTCATATTCTGCTGATCCTTCCAAGCCTGGAACTGTTCCATGTCACCGCCAGCGTCGTAGTATCTGCGCTTCTCTGCATCGCTGAGGATATCGTATGCAGTGTTAATTTCCTTCATTGTATCTTCAGCTTTCTTCTTTTCCGCTGGATCTGGGTACTGATCTGGGTGCCACTTCCTTGCGAGCTTCCTGTATGCATCTTTGATCTGTGTCTTTGTGCAGCCACGAGGAAGACCAAGAATCTTGTAATAATCGACAGCGCTTGCTTTCTTCTTTCCGTCCATTGCGCGCTGAAGAGCGTTAGCGAGGTAGGCGTCGTTAGGATATTTACGGGATAAACGAGTGTATTCGAAGACTGCAGCATTGAAATCTTTGTTACGATAGCAAAGATCTGCCTTGTATCTGATGTAATCTTCGTTTTCGGTATCGATTTCGACTGCTGTATTAATGTAATCAACGGCATCGTTCAATTTCGATTGTTTCTCTGCAATTTTTGCGGCCAAGTAACTTGCCTTTGAAATAGAGCCAGCTTCGGCACCGCAAACACTTCTCATTGATTGGTTGTACTTGGAAATAATACGCATGGCCTCATCGTAGTTTCCTCTCTTGAAATTATTTTCTGCATCGTGGAAAGAGGATCCCTGGCTAGAAGCAAGCTTCAAATATTGCTTGGCTTCATCTGGAACTTCATCAATCTCTTCTGCCTTGGCAATATGCTTCTTTCCTTCGTCAAATTTTCCATTGCAAATAAGGGAAACGCCAAATCTGTAATCAAGGTCAGCATCGTTTTCGTAGAAGGCCTTGACTGTTTCGCGCATGTTATTTTCGAAAACTAATGTTTGTCTTAACATCCAAGCTATATCAGCTCTTTTTTGTCTTAATTCAAGGGCTCTTGTGCAGATTGGAAGGATTCTGTCATAAACTTTAGCTGCATCAGTATATTTTTCATCATCGATGAAATCTTCCGCTTGTTTGAGTAATTTTGTTAATTCCTTAGCACTTGCTGTGAGAGAAGGCTCTTCTGCAAGCTGGGCATCAGCAAGAGCTTGTTCTGCATCACCCATTCTGAGATGTTCGTTAGCTGAAATTGTATATAATTGCTTCTGTTCAAATGCATCTGGATTTTTCTTCATAGCTGTTTCAATATCTTCAAGAGCTTCTTCAGACATGCCTAAATTTGCCTCTGCTTCAGCTCTTAATCTGTAATATACAATAGGAGTCTGTTTTCCGAGTTTTTTGATTTGCTTATCAAGAACTCTCTTCATTTTATCATTTTGACCGAAACTTCTGTATTGCTGGATCGCTTCAAGAGGATTTGCATCTTCATCAATCTGACAGAGAGCAAGAGAGAATAAAAACACAAACATTCTGATATTTCTCCGGACGATTATTTTACACTCAATTGTTTGGCTGGACATTTATCTGGTATCTGATTTTAATTGCTTCATTCTGGTTATTGCAAGAATTACATTCTCATATACGGTTATAAAATGGCAGCGGGATGAAGTTCGTATTATAGAAAAATTAAAAATATCTATGAAATTATAAGCCAGTTTTTGATGGATTCAGTCATGTTTGTCTCTTTGACACTTGTATATGAATCGGAAGCTGAAATAGTAGTAAATATGATTTACATTTTATATCTTATTGTAAATTGAAATAATCCAATAATAATCTCTTTGCAAATGAAAAATTTTATTTCTGGTGGTTTGAATTGGAAAAATTCTACAATTCTCCCACTTCTTTGAGTGCAATATTATACTGAAGATAAAGAAAAGTTTCTATAAAAGATGATTTGATTGCAATGTCTAATGTTGTTCTATTATTATTATCCAGGATGTTGATATCTGCACCATGTTGGAAAAGGAATATTGCGATATCTTTGTAATTTAAAAAAGCCGTAATATGAAGAGTTGTGAAACCATAATTGTTTTTAAGGTTAACATCAGCACCGTATGAAATAGGAACTTGTGATACTTCAAAGTTATGTTTAACTACAGCCATATGAAGAGGAGTATCACCTAAATCATCTTTTGAATTAATATTTGCACCATATGAAATAAGAAGTCTTGCTGCATCCGCACTGTTGGATTTTCCTGCGTAATGAAGTGGTGTTCTCTTTTCTTCATCTTTCGAGTTGATTTTTGCCCCATATGAAATAAGCAATTGCATAATTTCAATATTGTTGCTGAACGCCGCATAATGCAGAGGAGTTGCATCATGAATATCTTTTGAATTAACATTTGAACCTTTCAATAAAAGATATTCCACCATCTCTTTTCTACCATTCGATACTGCTATATGAAGAGGAATCAAACCTTGAAAATTTTTAGAATTGATATCCGCACCATGTGAAACAAGAATTTGTGCTATATTAACATCATTAAACGCCGCAGCAAAATGAATAGCTTGAGAACCCAGGCTAGTTTTATCATTAATATTTGCTCCATGCTTAATTAAAACTTTTAGCACTTTTTTACTACTTGACTTTAACGCAAAGTGTAATGGCATTGAGTATTCAAGGGTAATTCCATGAGATATAAGAAATTCTGCCGTTTCTTTATTATCATATTCTGCAACAATTTGAAGTGCAGAAAACAGCCATTTAATATCTGCACCAATGGAAATGAAGTAATTGCAAATTGTTGGAATATTAAAGAATGTTGAATTTAGAAAACCTATGTCAATGTCATTTGATTGATTAAATAATATTAAGAATGCTTGAATATTGTCATAAGCAGCGCAATCACGCATTTCAATATTAATATTATATTCATTCAACAAAATATTAATATTATCAATATTGTGTGTGAAAATGGCTGTTTTCATACATTCCGAATTAGGTTCATTATATTTCAAACAACTCCTAATGATCTTTTGATTTCCTCCATAAAAAGCTAAAAGAAGGCAATTATATGGGATTATTTTTTCGAAATGTTTTCTTAGTATTTTGAAACATTCAATTGCTCCATGATAGCAGCAAAATTCTAGCAATGAAAGACCATGTTCTGATTCTGGATAGAAATCGCTAATAAGTTTTTGTGTTTCATCAAATCCTTCTTTTTCTATAAATGAAATGAATATTTCTTTTTGATCGTTCATAATGGCTTTATAAATTGTGTTATCTTCATGAATGTCCAAAGTGTAGTGTTTTTCTTCAATTTCTTCAAGTTCTTTGCTTTTTGTTTCATAAACGCAAATACTATACTCCTCATTTAGGAAGTACTGGAAAAGAGCCGGAATTGAATTTTCTTGTATTAATCCATAATTTTCAATTAACTTTTTGTATAAATACAAATATGCATGAAAATATTTATTTCTATATTTCGCTAATAAATTGATTGCTTTAAGGATCTTAATTGGTGAAGATACCTTCGTATCTATCAGTTTTATTTCGATGTCTTCATAAATATTGTCTATTTCCTCTTCATCGAAAGTATTCAATTTGTATAATGCTGAATAAGCTCCATCAATGTCTTTGGTTAGATTCATGATTGCTTCATAATCATGGGTATCTTTAACCCTTGAACCACAACAAATCTGAAGATAGAATGATAACATTTATATTTTGAATAAACGAACTAATGATTTTCAAATAAAAATGAGAAATCAGATAAATATTACTAATATACTAAGCAATGCTTATTATGATATGTCATTAAAACATCATATGTTCAAATTTGTATGTGCTTCTCAAAATTGAGCATTTGATGGGTATATTGTTTTCAACAAAAGATTCTATTAAATGTTTTATAAATTGATTGATAATTTTATTTATAAAGTAGGAACACGAAAAATTTTCTAAATCTCAAACGAATTTTTAATTTAAGAATAATATTAGAAAATTCGAAAAAAATTAAATTCATCTGATATAGAATAGAATGTTGTTCAATTAAAATACTACATAACAAAAAAAATCTAAATTATTGCTTTTTGTAACTCGAAATGCAAAAAAAAAGCTAAATATCGCTATTATTAGTCAGTTTATCACTTTTGAAAATATTGTACAAGTTCAATATATACCTCTACTATTGAAAACTTTGGATTAAGAGTGCAATGATACCTATATGACATAAATTCAAAACTCTGACAACTGACTTTAAACAACTTAATTGAAGACCGTGTCATTCAAGCGTATGTGCAGCCTTAATCCTATATGACTTTTTTTTTCAAAATTCTGACAATTGGCGTGAAGCGTCACTGCAAATTAATCTTAAAAAACTGAAATGAAGGAAATATATCATAAGAGGTATAATTACACCCTTGATATAATTGTAAAAAAGCTAAAAATAAGAAAAAATATGTTTTTTATAAAGCTGAAGAAGAAAGTCGATATCTTCTGTCAGGGCAAAGAAGAAGGGTTCCTTCAGAAGAAAGGAAATCAATAATTTCATCGCAGTTATTAAAAGATGAGTTCTTACATGATCTTTCAAAGATTTCTTTCAAATCAAACTTTGAGAAATATCTTTCTCCTGTCATTCTCAATGAGTTCATGAAACACAAAACTGCATTTTTCTTCGAAAGTTTCTTTCCTCTACTTTTTGTCATTTTTTGATTGATGTCAAAACTGTTTTGTAACAATTCGAAGACATCGTCAACATCATCTTCAGATACTTCTTCTCTCAAATCAATTGATGTTCTAACGATAGACAAATCAGTGAGTTTTTGAAGAGCTCTTTCATTTTTCATCATTTTTGACAAATTTTCAATTTTTTCTTTGACATTTTCAGTCAAAACAGGAGAAACAAAAGATTTCACATAAGAAATATAAACTCTAAGTTCATCTTCGGTGAAAGGAGCTTCAATTTGATATGTTGGTTTCAATCTTTCTTCAATTGTCAAATCATTATCTTCCCAGTTTTGGAAAACTCTGTTTAAAAATGATGAATTACTTGGTGTCAATTGTCTCAATGTTTGTCGACGGTTTGTATCGTTTGTATCGTCGAAAAGTGACAAAGTGAAGAGTTGTAAAGTTTCGTCAAACAAATTTATTTTCTGGGAATTGTCGATTTGACAAAAGACAATTGAAGAAAAGTCACTTTTTAGATCAGTAAAAGTGTCATTTCTTATTTTATTTGTTTCGATTGCTTCGATAAATTGTAACTGACACTTTTTAAGAGATTGTTGAGAATCAACGATTAAACAACCACCAGAAGATAACGAAATATCATCTGGTTTTGATGTTTCTGTCATAACACATTTAATCGGGGCAATTTTACAAACAAAATCAAATAGATTCTTGATGTTGTTAGAATATTCTCCTAAAATTAATGTATGTGTTTGAACATTGGAGAAAAGTGATAATAAAAGTGACATCTTAACTAAAAGTGACACTCCACTATTTGGACATAAACTCTGAACTAAAGAAGGTAAAAGAGGTTTAGTTTGTGATACTTTTTGTACTGTTTCAATGTTACGTTTTGAAATAGTGTAAAGTGAGCGGCGGTTATCGGTTATTATCGTAAACGATAGACAGATCAAAGAGCATTTGAATGTATTCTGATTTTTCTCTGTTTTAACAATGCCTGTCATTAAGCAAGAGTCTCCTTTGTTTAAGATTCCTGTCATTGATTTATGTAAAATTACTTTACATTGGCAGTTTTGACAGATGTCAGAGCAAACAATAGTTTGTGTAGGTGTAATGTCAGAAATCTTGTTTTTCTTTGTAGAGTTTGATTCGAGTTTTACTTCTTCTGTCTGAATGACACGTAATGGAAGAGTAACTACTTGTTCGACATCTTGTGGAAGCAATGTTGTAATTGTCTTTGGCTTAGTAATGTCTGAGAAATGTACTGTAGTAACAATGTTTTGGTAGCTTTTTGTCCTGGCAATTCTGGATGCAATGACATTAATAAGAGCATAAGAACCTATTGGATTCGCTAAGATTTCGTCTTTGATTTGGTTGTTTTCGTCTATTTGGGACAATTGTAAATCAATTTGAATGGCTCCGATTTTATTTTCTTTAGCAATGATTGCGGATATAGCTTCTTCTAGCTTGTGTATACTATCCTGACTTAATATTGGCTTATATTCATTTTGTTTTGCGTCTATGTTCTCCTCGTTCATTTTCTCTGAAAATTTCCATTCAAGCGCATCACGACGATTATTTCACATTCAATGTGGATGTACATCACGTTGATTAGAAAGGAACTAATATTAAGATTATCATCAATACAATTGATCACAATGCCTACATTACCTCTCTAATGATTGGTTTTTCAAAAAAAATCCGGATTTTTCTAATTTAATAGTTGATTTTCTTGAGATGCAGTTAAATGCTTTGCTTATGCTTGTTTTATGCTTCGTTTTCATTTACTCTTTTGCTAGAGCAATTATTTTGGATCGCTATTGTTCCAGATCATGATCTAATAATCTAATATGCATTTGTATCAACAGTTTGTTATTATAATAGGTCTTTCTAACATAATAACTTTAAATTTCAAAATTGAATTTGAGAATCCCAGAATAAACAAAAATATAATGTTGTATTCGATAAAAGCAATCTTTGTATAGAAAGAATGAGGTGAACTCAAAAGATTTTTGTAATTGAATGCAAAATGAACTAGAAACGAACTTAATGATTTATATAGATCCCGCTCAAGCACGTGACCAGCAATCATTAGAAAATGCTGTGAATGAAATCGAAACAATTATTGATGAAGAAGGAAGATTCTTAGATTTACTTGGAAATTTTGAAAATTTCCAATTTGAACAAACAAAATCGTTCACCTTTGATCTACTAAGAACTATTATCCACCTTAGATGGAACGAAATAGAACAAAATTTCGATAACGTTTATTACTTTCTATTTGTGCTTACAACACAACCTCAAATTTATCAAAAACTTACAGTCGCAGAAAAATTAGCTGAAACGCAAGCATTTTTCATGGCAAGAGCTTTTCCAACTTTAATTCAAGATTTACTTCAACCATTTAACGATTTACAGAAAAATATTCGTCCCATTATACAATATCGCTTTATTAAAATGTTTTCATACAATATAGCTTATCCAAAACCTCCCGTAATTTTTCATGAAAAATTATATGTAGATTATATAAAACCATTCTTCGAAATTTTATTCTCATTTACATCTGGTGTCAATACAGCACTCGAAGCGTTATCATACCTCGTGAAATGGGCTTCAATTTACAATTGGTACGATGAAGAGCGATATTTTCAAATATTAATGGAATGTTTCAATAAAAATGGTCTTAGATCTCTTGTTGCCGATGTAATTTCTTCTCTTCTTTGTTCTGTTGATGGAATTACAGATAGATTTAATTTAGTCGACGAAATACAAAAGGAATTAGAAAGATACGAAGCAGAACAAGAAGCCAAAGAAAAAGATCCTCATATCATCTTCGCAAAACTCGCAGCGAGTGCAGGAAGTTCAATAATTTCAGATCCACAATGTGAACCTTATTTTGTATTGGCATTATCATTCCTTCGATCTTCAAAGAATGAATCTCACGCTAGAGAGATCAGCAACTTCGTTCTTGACTTCATTTCAGATTTTGTCGAAAATTTCCCCGATCACGCGCCATCTGTAATTGAAACGGTTTGTTTGAGACTCGGAAACCGTTTTGGATCTGAAAAATTTACAATTGATGATAATCTCAACAGATATTGCTCGCTAGCGTTTACTTGCTTGAAATCATCGCAAGTTGCAGCTTCAAATACAACACCAGAAGGTGCAGAACCAGAAAATTCGTCTTTAAAGACCTTATTTTCAATATTAGAATTAGATATCTCAGAAAACACGAATTTAGTATCTGCAGCCTTACTTGTTATATACCAATGCTCTCAAATGGGCTTTGCATTCAATGGTTTGACTGAAATAATCCCACAATTATTAGAAAAAACAGGAGAACTTGATCCTTCGTTCATGGCCTTCCATTTCTCTGTATATAGGATCATATTTATTTGCAGCGAAGAAGAATTAGGCAGTGAATTTATAAATGAAGTTTTTAATCGTTTGGCAGTCATCATTTCGACAACTTTGAGTGAAAGCGAAGAAGATGATATTGATATGCGTAAGAGATTTGTCACTGTTTTGTTGGATTTTGTTAAGAAATTTGCAAAATCAATTAATATTCAGACTTTATACGAAACAGTTACAACTTTGCCAACAAATATTCCAAATGTTTCTTCAATTTATTCGTATATGTTCGATTTACTTGATGTTGATGCACAAAATCAATTATTAAATTATTTGGTTGAAGAAATGACCAAAAACGAATGTTTCCAGAATTTGTTCAACTTCTTATCCAAAATACTCTGTCCAAATGATGAATCTTTCAAGCAAGAGTTATCATCTTTTATTATTCAAGCCATAAACGACCATTCTGGCGATAAAGACCTACTTCCATCGATAATTCAGTCAATCTCATGCCTCAGTATCGATGGATTCCAGATTTTGGTGAGTTTAGTTGAAAATTACCAAGAAAACGCTTTGATTATTTCATCAATCCTTTATTCCTTCAATGTCATAAGGAAAACATTGCCAAAATATGCTAAAATAGCTTCAAAACCAGAGCTAAACGGATTATTAGATAATGAACAATTTATTGAGTTCAACAACACATTGTTCAATGAATATTTCAACATTTTGGATAAATACTGGTCCGCACCACAGTCACAAAGCATGAAATCTGTGATTTTGGGGATGATTATCAACGGAACAAATTTATTCAAGACAACTATCAGACAATTTATATCTGATGATGCTAAAACAGACTTATTACAGATGGAAGCAGATGTTTTGTCCCATTATTACGATAATCCACACATATTTACAACAATTGTCCAATTTGCGAGGGAATCATGTGAATCTTTCCCAATAGATGTGCTTAAATACTTCATTAGACCATCAATGAACTTCCTTTACTCGCAAAATTTCACAATTAATTCTCCGAAATGGGATAATGTCGTCAAAAACGTCATTTTATTGCACATGGCATTGTATAATAAGCTTCCTGATGATTTCTTGCCATTATTCCGCGAAGCTTCACTTGATGCTTACAAAGCTCCAGAAGAAGCAGTAGAAAGCTACATCCAGCAGCTTGTGAAGCTTAAAGCTAGTCCAACAGACAAAGACTCCCTTGAAGAGGCAAGATTGTTCTTCGCAGACTTAGCTGTTGGTTTTTAATTGTATTTTTTTAAATAAAAAATTTGATTGTGTTCTTTTTATTAATGATTCATTCCTATTTTTAAACTCACCCTTAACAAATTATATTGTTTAACAGAAAAAATGTATTTAATAACTATATTGTGATCTTTCAATGATGGGATAAAAAGTAGAGTTCCTCCAGAAATCATTATGAGTTCAAAAAAAATGCGAAATGCAGTCACCAATCATGAATCTTCGATTCATTGAATTTGATAATAATGATTACTCTAGATGAATAATATATTTCTGTATTAGTAGATTAAAAAAAAGTCGAAATCCAAGTCTAAAAAAATCATTTTTATAATTGACAAAATAGAATCAATTATTTGATTCCTAAAATATGATTTAAAAAAGCTCTATTAATAATACAAATATAAAAAATAATAATAAAAAGTTAAACTTTTCCGGTGTATTGAGATTCTTCTTGCCATCTCTTGAAGAGGATCTGGAACTGTTGTCTGTGTGTTTCGTGCAAACCTATAGACACTTCAGACAATTGATCCATTCCAACTCTCTGGAAGACAGGATAAATCGAGTTCTGCATCATTTTCTGTTTCGTATTTTCCATCGAAATATTTGATATCAATGAAACAAAAGTAGAAATAATGTAATGCTGGAAATCAGGTCTAATAATTCTTGCGCTAGTTGCCATGAACTTTGAAAATGTCTTCAAATGTTTATATGTTGGATTTGTATTACTAAAATATTTGAAGAAAAGTGACATCAATTTTCTGACACATTCATTTGAAACAACATGAACTCTTGCGCATTTCCTAGCATTTGTGAATAAATCTGTTACTGCAGACATCAAGTTACAGACGTCATTGATATTCTTTGTTGATTTTGACAATGTCAAAATGTCAAAGAAAATACTTTCAATGATTTTTAAGTTGTAAAATCTCGCAACTCTTGTATTTATCAATGCTTTGATTGTTTCAAGATCATTACTATTATTCACAATCTCTTTGATGTATTTCTTGTAATAATCCTTGTAGACTTTCTTGTTGCAATAAACACCACTCAAAATTGCAATTTTTCCTTTGAATGGTGATTTCTCTAAAATTCTGATAATTAAATCAGGGTCTGTCACCATGAACTCCTCAATTTCTTTTCTTGGGAGAGCTCTAACTAAATTTGTGACATTTTCTGCGCCAGGATCATTATCATCTTTGTAGCATATTTCGAATATTCTGTCGAGTTTCTTCTCAAAGTTTTTCGTTAATTCTGACAAATTTTGAACATAACAAAGTGCTTCCAAAATCATCTTGATGTTTGTTTTGTTGTATGTAACTTTGTTGAGAATGTAAGTGGCCGCGTGAGGTGATTGGCTCTTTGTTTGCTCGCAGACACACTCGATATCATTCTCGAAAAGAACAGCTTCAAATGGTGTTTTGATGCCGTTTTGGAAACAATAATTACAAATACCAATAATTGTTTCTTTTTGTAAACTATTGAAATCTAAATCAGATGGAATTTCTCCCAAAGTATATAACAATGTTGGAATGGCTGTTTTGTGGATTTTAAGAGGGATTCTGTCAATGATTGTTTTGATGTTTTCTTTGACAAAATCATATGGGAATGATATAACTAACTGACTAATCATTTTACAAACATCTTTTGAAATTTCTTCAAATAACGTATTTTCAAAACCGTCCAAACCGTTTTCTGCATATTCAACCAAAACTTCGAAACTTTCTACAGCAATTGAAAAGTCTATATTTTGCTCATCATCGGTCTGAACAACAGAAACAAACTCATTTGGCATCGAAGAAATGAGCATTGCTGTGAAAATTTTCGTTTGATGTGTTTTTGATGATAAAAGTTCATGTGCTGCCAAATGGAAGATTTTCTTCAGTACACTGTTCTCATAAAAGTATGAGTTACTGAATAATCTCATGCAATAATCAGCAATTGTTTTCGGTTGTTGTAAATTTTGACAGAAAAGTGACGCTTTGACAACAAATCTCAAAATTTTCAACAAATCAGATTCTTCGAAACAAACAGCTAATTCGTACAAATTTTGAATGATGAACAAAAGCCTGTAGTAGTCTTTGTCAGCCATATTTGGTGTTGGCACTAAAGAAACAGTGTTTTCATAGACAAATTCCGTGATTTTTCCATGTTTTTGCGGCAAACAATTTGGAACTTCAAGTTTTTCTGATTCAAATAATTCATGATTTTGCATTAAGTAGCAAAACAACGAAATTGGATGCTCCTCAAGCATATCTTTGCTTGCAATTGTAGCTGTCTTGAATCTAAGTGCTTTTCCGGCTATAGAAGCTGCTGCACATCTCCATGGACTTTTGCCAGCGGTTTTGACAATAAAATTGACAACGTCAACGTGTTCTGGAGTAAATCTTGCGTTTTTGACGGTCCAGAACAATAGGCAGTTGTCAGACTCTTTTTGGGACATAGCCAATATCTTCAGCAAACCATTTGTTTGGCTGGAATTCAAATGAGAAACGAGTTCTGAATATTTTGTGACAAAAATTGGAAATTCGCAAATATGTGAATCCAAACGAGTTTCCTGTTCATTGTTGAAGTCGTCTGGGAAGTCGTTGTATCCGAATATGACTTGCGGCATTCTCAAACTGAAAGCCATCTCCAATGCAGACAAAGCAAAATTTTCGTCACTTTTTTCAAGTAAAACAGTTAAAGAAGGTCTTACGAGTCTGAAATCAAGTCGTGCAAGGGACGCAAGGACTGAATAATGGTTGTTCTTAATTGCTTCGTCAGTAATCAAGTTGAGTTGTTGGAAATCTGATTCAGTTCCTGATTGAGGAGTATAGAGCTGGAGTTTAGCACATTCGTCAAAGACAGGGACAGCTAAATCAAGTGATTGTGTCCTTTTGTAAAGATTTAACGGAAATTGGAAGAGATTTGTTATCTTAAATGCAATCGCTGATTCTTTGTAGATTGGCATGAAAACATGTATGAATGATATAACACCTGGTCGTATTGGATCAGATTCGCTTGGTGTTGTAAGCTTCTTGAGGAAAGTATCGAAAGAAGAACCTAAATCTTTTCCAGAAATCTTTTGGAAAAGGAATGGACCACATAATGCACGAGAAATGAATTGTAAAACTTGCTGCTCATTAAGTTTGGATATGTTATCAATCAATGGATCAAAGATATCGACAACTTTTTTGAAAACTAATTCTGATCCAACAGTAAGCTCACGATGTGATGAGATTAATGTAATAAGAAATGAAATTTGTGGCTCATAGATTTCGTTATCTTGCAATAACTGGCTAAATGTCAAAATTAAATCATCAAATTTTGGTCTCCATGAATTTGGATATTTGATTTGAAGTAATTTTAGCGTTTCTAATGCAATATCTCTGATGTTTGAACGAAAAGCATTTAAAATTGCAATATTAGGTTTCATTATAAGAGAAAATTTATCGCTTTCGATGTTTGTTTCGGTAAGAGATTGATGAAATAGCTTCCATGCATCTTCATTTGTTTGAAAATTCGTATCAAATGCAATATTATTTGATATCCATTTAAGAATAAAGTCTGGAGTTAAATTTTTGTTATTTAAAGCATCCTGTGCTTCAGCGAGTCTCATTTCTGGAGCATTCCTCTTGTCATAAATAATTGCAATTATATTCTTTGAGGAACTTTCCATTTTTCAAATAAAAAAACAGGACAAAAAAATTGAACTTGATGTGTTTCAATGAGAATTCAATATATAAAATGACAACATAGAAACTTTCAATATGAATGATATTAAAAGATTTTCCTTGGGATCAATCAGATTGAATGTAGGCTAACATCATACGCTTTCTATGGAAATAAGAAAACATTAGCTTTATAATCTACTCGATAACTATTCAAGGTTCAATCATCCTCAAAGAACACAAAAGAGCAAAATTGATATCATATATGCGAATTCCCGTTAACAATCAAGGGTCTATACTTTCTTACAAAATCGAAAGTATTCCACTTAATTAACTATTGATGGTAAATATAATTTTAAATTTATAAAATCAACTCTATAATATTTATATTTTACAACAAAAAATCAAGTAATTCTAGCACTGCATAATAACTGCTTGCTCGTCCTGGTCGTATAGATCATAGCCGCTAATATAATATTCAATTGTATGCGCAGCCTTCATATCTGAGCCTTTTTCTAATGTTTCGAATAGTTGCTTCATTTCAGCAGCGCATTCCTTTCTAACTGTATCGAAATATTTTGTTCTAATTTGATCTGTCGATGGAGGCTGAACAAATAATAAATCTTTGCACTCCATAATATTCTTTTCTGCACTTTCGTTTGCTTCTAAGCATGTTGTAAGATTTTGAGTTAATTCATCATCATATTTTTCTATAAAACTTTGCATCCAAAATCTATTGTCACTTTTTATTCGCATTATGAAGACACCTAATCTTTGTTCTACTAAAACAAACAAGTATAAATTCTAAAGTAATTTTGTTCTCAATAAAATTTCTAGTTAAAAAAAACAAATGAAGAAGAAAAAAGTTGATTATCAAGAGGTTATGGATTTGTGTAAAGATTATAATGAAACATTCGACAAATTATACAAACTAAATACGTTCAGCGAAGTTGAAATAGACAAAATTTATGAAAGTATCAAAACATATTTACTCGATACACAAATATGCACGCCCTCTTCTATTTGTGAAACAATATCTGCATTGGTACACTACAGAATCCGTTAAATAAAACCTTACTGGGAAATATTCAAAAAGATTTTCGAAACATATCATCCGAAAAAACTCGATATTGATTTCCCATTTGAATTTTTTGTTTATAAGCAATATGGTATTTTTAATAAGGAAAATGGATTCAAAACAAGCGAAATGAATCAGAAGAAACGCAAATTATACGATTCCTATGAATTCACGCTTGATGTTCATAAAGAAAACACAATATGGAAAGCACTAATAGATGATGACTTAAAAGCATTAATTCCATTCACAGAAGAAAATGATTTTAATCCAAAAAGAGGTATAAAAAGCCAGTTCTATCCAAAAGATGAAATGGAGAAACCTTTCACATTAATTGAATTCTGCTGTTTTCATGGCTCTGTAAATTGTTTTAAGTTTTTAAGAACGAAATTCAACTTAAAAATCACATTCAGGTGCGTTAATTTTTCAATGTTGAGCGGAGTTCCAGATATTATGAGCGAATGCTTGAAGGTGAAAAAGCCAGGTTTATATAGCATGAAATACGCAATTATTTCACATAACATTGATTTTGTTTCCTTCTTGATGAATGAACATGATTTAGTAATCAGCATGCATGATTGCTATAATTTCAATAATCTTCAAGCATATTTGGTTTATTTAGATCAAACACAACAATTCGACAAATGTTTTATTTATTCACCAGCGTTTAATCTTCCGCCTCTTTTTGATTATTTAATTGCGCATGGTGCATCCATAAATCCAATTAGTACTGAGAATAAAACGGCGCTTTATATTGCTGCTAAATATGGATTCAAAACCGCTGTTGAATATTTGATTGCGCATGGAGCAAATGTTAATATAAAAACATTACCTCTTTTCACTACTCCTCTCCATGAAGCTGCAATTCATGATTATCCTGAAATAGCAGAGATTCTTATTTTACATGGTGCAGAAATCAATGCAATATCTGCTAGAATGAAAACTCCTCTTCACCGTGCAATACAAAAAAATAGTATAGAAACTGCCAAAGTTCTTATCTTGCATGGTGCTGATGTCAATGCAACTGGTGAAGATGGAGAAACTGTTCTTCATTACGCTGCAGACAAAAATAGATATGAAATAGCAGAACTTCTAATAGCACATGGAGCAAATGTCAATGCACAAAACGATTATGGAGATACTCCACTAAATTATGCATATACGAGTGAAAGCATGGAAGTAATAAATGTACTTAAATCGCATGGTGCACTTGATTCAAATGATGACTAAATTTCTTCATTCAAATCAAAACTCCTGCTTTTAATTTGATCTGGTGTAATTTTAAAAAAATTGCATCCAACAACATCTTGTTATTGGCAATCATGAAAGAATATCTAAATAAAAATCGAAAATTAGTCATAGAACGTTTTTTACACATTAAAAGTGAAATTTGAATTTTGCAGCATATACTAAGTCTTATTCCATCCATTAACGCTTCATTGATGCTTCGCACCGATAATGCCGAATAATGAAATAACCAAAACTTGTGATTCAGAGCCATTCGCTTTAAATATCAATTGTACATTACTATTGTTGCAATAATATGTTATTATACTCCAAAAATTTTTAGGACCAAAGGGCAAATTTACCCCTTGGAGAGGTTTGACAAGGCCTTTCTCTAATGGGTAAAGTTCACGGTTCCCTCGCTCAAGCAGGCAAGGTTCGTTCTAACACACCAAAGGTCCCAAAGATGGACAAGCCAAAGGAAGTTCGTGGCCGCGCTCGTCTGCGCAAGATCTACAACCAGCGCTTCCTTGCTGTTAACCCAGATGCTAAGCGCAAGACAGGTCCAAACAGCCAGTCTCAATAAAATAAAAGCTTAGGGTATTTTTAAAAATTTATCTAATCAAATTCTACTTTTTCAAAATCATCAATACATATATATTTTATTCAGAAATCAATTTCATTAAGTCTCTGATTTTACTACAACACAATCTACCTGTAATAAACTAAGCATTTTTACTTATGAGATTGATGTTCTTAAGCTAAAATCTGATATCAAAATGAGTATTAAAGAAAAATCAATTAAAATTTCAACTTGAGATCAATACATCTCATTGAGAAACTCCTTCTGTAATAAATATTAGAGTAAACTCTAAAGAAATTCCTTAAAAAAATATATTTCAAACATTTATTTCTCCTAATTTTTGGTCTTGGCACCAATTTAAGAAAGCAGGAACGGTTGGAGGAGGTGGAAGGGTTGACTTAATATTTGGAACAGCATCATACTGAGAAACAGGCTTAGTTGATATCAAAGCAGGTTCAAGTACTAAAGATATCATACTTTCACCCTTTGCCTGGGCTTTCCTTGCCATCTGACGTAAAAATACAATATTCTCTGATCGTTTTTTATTTTGTTCCTCAAGAAGAGCGTATGCATCTTCACGTTTCTGTCTAACAAGTGCGAGTTCATCCTTCAAACGGCGCAGATATGAAAAGTCATTCATCGATTTTCTAACTTTGTTGGATTTCGTTATTGTTTTAATATGGTTTTGTCTAATGCCGCAGTGGTCTGGTGGAAACTCTTCAAAGCGCAAAACAGAACCTGCAAGCTTTGGACGAGACATCCAGTGATCGAATATTGCTTTTACAACAGGATATGGAGGAGCATTGTCATCGAGTAGAATTAATACTTGATCGATGGTTGGATTTTCTGTGAGAAAATCTTTCACAATGCCTTCGATCGCGATGAAAACTTGTTCTAATTGTTTTGTTGTCATTTGAAGGAATTTATGTGTGCTGTTAAAACCTCTAATAAATTCTATATCTGTTTTATCGCAGTAATAAATGAGTGGCTCATAAAAAGTTGAATCATAAATAAAACATCTTGGTGGGCATGAAAAATAGACAGAACTTTTCTCAGCTTCTGCTTTTATGATTCTATCTACTTTAGGAATTGGAACTTTTGCATCTCCAGATGTAACGGCTTGAACTACATGCCTTTCATTTTGTTCTGAACCATCCAGCTTCTTAAGACCAATCTTCTCTGATGGCACAATAACAGGTGTTATATTATCCGATACAACAATTTGGTATTTGGCTTTCAGAGAGATCGGAAACTCAGTGTTAACATCATCGACCTCCATTTTTTTGGCCCATATATTTAAATTAGGTAATGGGTATAAAAACTAGCATCAGTATTGTGTAAACAATAAAATATCTTAAAATTAGAGGGATATCTTAGAAATTTAATGAAGAATATCTCAAAACTTTGATTTTACTTTTCATATCTTAAATATGTAGGATAGTTCTAAAGTGTAGTATGAACATGATAGATTTTGATGAATTTATAATATATAAATAACTTTATTAAAAATATTCACAGACAAGATAAGAAATTCTATTTTGTAATTTGATTAACGTGGCATGTAAAAGTCATCAGCGAAACGAATGTATCTCTTGGCCCATTCGTTGAAGTGCATATCTTTTGTATGGAATTGCTTAAAGAAAGGAGCAATTTCGTGTTCGCTCCATTGCTTGTGTAATGCAAAGATGGCTTTAAACCTGTCTTCAACTGTAATTGGAAGTGTTTCCTCTTCAATTAATAAATATCCGTTTTCATGTTCAACGCAAACGCCATATGTATATGTATGATCAAATTTAATATCAGGTGGAACTAAACCTTGTATTTCTTTATCGAAATTCTCCTTCAGCATCCAATTTCCTCTTTGAGAGCGAAGAAGTGTTGCAACAATATGTTTGATAATCTTTTTCTCTTTCAAAGTAATGATATCATTAGAAATTGTTTCTGAAAGACTGTAAAGAACTGCACGAACTAAGTTTTCAACGTTATTTATGGCAGCTTCTTCATTTGCTGGCTGATCAATCAAGATCTGAGATAATTTGAATGTAGAAACGACTGCTTTCTCACTTACTTTTCTCCAATCTGACTGAGTTAATGCAAATCTGATAATTTGATCGATAATTTTATTCCTTAGAGCAAGATTTGGCATCTTAACGCATTCATCAATCTGAATAACGCATAATTTTTCTATAATCTTGTTAAATTCGTATCTAGAACAAAGAGTATTATCCATAAGATCATCAAATTTGATTGGGTTGACAAGCGGAGCACCACCGATCTCTTCTAATGTGAGATAGTTTTCTGCAAGTAGTTTTCTGAAGGAAAGTAATGGAGCTTTGATACTTCGGAGTTCGAATGTTGAATAAGCCTTTGTGAGAATAGTATTATCCATATATGGAAGAAGCATGTTACTTGTATCGAATTCTTTTACATCATATGTATTTTCATCAATGCAGAGTACAATAGGTTGATTTTTTGTTGAAACAAATTCGGCTTCACTCATTCCAGTCATCAATTTCTGGATGTCATCCTCTGTCATTTCGAAAAGTAGATATTGATCCTTTTCGAAATCTTCAGCAAACCCAATTTCTTCTACGCTATCCATAATTTTTAAACGTCACGTTTTTACATTCAAATTTACAAATGAGTGATAGAGCCAAACCAGGCCACCCTCATTGTTTTCAACGTCAAGAAAATCAAATTATGATGCAAGCTCTTACATTAATGCAGAGTGATTCCCCAAATTCAGCACATGAGTTAAGAAAAATTTTAGAAGCTTCATATATTGATAAAGAAAGAAACATCAAAGCTGCAAAAGGTGAAAATCAATGATACGTGCCTGAATTCGCTAGAACCTTATGAATTCTCCAATAATATTTTTTTATAATTTTTACATTCTGATAACGAATCAATGAAAAGAAAAATTAATGATTTCTAATGATGACATACTAACCAAGCATCAAATACTTGGAAAATTCAGAAAAATTGTTTGAAAAATTGTTAAATTTCAAGAATAATAAACATAAATTTATAAAACAGTATTATATATGATTCAACTAAACAACATTGTCTTCATTTCTTCTTAGATTTCTTTGACTTTTTAGATTTGACCGATTTTTGACCTTCTTCTGCAGGAGGAGCAGCTTCTTGCTCTTCAGCAGATTTTGGCTGCTCTTCTTCGCCCTCCTTGTTCTCCGGATCTTCCGATTTGCTCTTTGCAGCTGTTGATTTCTTCCTGCTCTTCTTAGAACCAGCACCTTTTCCAGGGGATTCCTGGGATTCACCCCCTGCTTTAGGTTTAGGATTTTTGGCATCTTTGAAAGCATTTTCTAAAAGAACGCATGCAGCTTTGTATTCCAATATTTTATCTCTGATTTGAACATCTAATTCATGTAATTCTTTTTCATATTTTTCTTGATTTGCTTCTATTTGTCTTCCTAAAGAAGCAATGCCAGACATATCAGCATTAAAGCGTTCTCTCTCATTATCGAGGTCTGAAGCAATAACATTGAACTCTTGTTTGGCAACATTCAATTCGTGGTCCATTTTATCCAAATAATTACGATTTTCATCAAGAAGATTCCTTAGTGTCTTTGAAGCTCCGCGATCAACGATTTCTAATGTACTCAAATTATGGATTTGATTCTTTCTTGTCTCAATTTGCTCTTTCTGAGCATTTTCGAGGCTTGTGTTAAGAGAAATAATATCATCTCTCTGTGCTTTGATCATTTCTCTGCAATCATTAAGTTCGTTTTCCAATTCTTCAAGAGATCTTGTTCCAGAAGTTGTTTTAGACTCATTTTGCTGTTGCCATCTGTGCTTGTTTTGGGAAACGGCTTTAGAAATCTGTTGGATATATGCATAAGAAATATCATTGTATTCAATACTTAATTTTCTGCATTTTGAGTTATTCTGGATGAATTGGAGTATTGGTGCTCCATCTTTAACAAGATTGTTCTTAATGGAAATAGATTTAATTGTTTCTGACTTTGACAGGGCTGTGAAAATTGAATCACATGATTTATCACCCATTTCTGTTAAATCTAAGAAAAGTTGCTCGAGACCACGCTGAGATACAAATGCGCGACTTAAAGAATCAAGGCCATCATCTCTTAATGAGTTATTAGACAAATTCAAAACTTGTAAACCACGATTTTGAGCCAAACCTAGAGCAAACTCCTTAATTCCTGTTAAATCTATCTTGCATGCTTGAAGAATGAGGGATTTGAGCGTTGAATTTGCAGATATAATCTTTGAGAAAATTTCCGCACTTCTTCCGGTCAAAGGATTCTTAGAAAGGTTAAACTCCTTGATTGCTTCGCATTTTGTAATTGTTGGAGCAATAGTAGCAATAAATCTTGCTGTTAATCCGTTATTTGAAATATCAATTGTATTTACGTTTTTATTTTGCTTGAAGAAGTTAGCGAAGTATGTTCCACAGTCATCTTTGAGGTGATTTCCTGAAAGTCTGAGTGCAGATACTCTTGATGAAACTAAACATGGTAAAATTTGGGCAACACCCCTTGATTGGATGTTGTTATTCGAGAGATTAAGTTCGCAAAGTGTTGTATTCTTTGAAAGACCAGATGCAATAGTACCGACGTTTTCAACTGTAATTTCAACCATTGATAAGTCTAATTCAGACAAGACGAGGTTATTAGCAAGCATCTGGGATAATGCAGCAGCTGCTTCATTTCCGATTGAATTTCTTGTCATACCTGGACGACTTCCAAGATTTAATGAGATAATTGTTTTATTTCTTCTCATTGCATTAAATATTGCAGCCATTCCTTTATCCTCTATACCGTTAGATGATAAATCTATCGAAACAATACTACTAGTATTCAAAATCAACTGTGCAAATTCGATTGCGCCTTTATTTCCGATAGAATTTCCTGCAAGTTGTATTACTTTGAAGTTAGGATGAACTGTGAGTATATTACGAATTGATGCAGAAGCCAGTGGTCCAATTGATGTAGATTCCATTTGGAAGACTTTAAGAAAGGGTTTATCAAGAAGCTGCCTTTCAAATCTTGTAAATAACTTATCTGTCGCGCGAATATTAAAATCATCGCATTTAGCTTGGAATATATTTCTGACGTCATCAAGTGAAAGAGCAAATCCATTTTCTCTGGCATCTTCAAGTACTATATCTGTTTGTGACGCTGTTAGTGATGGAGATAAGCTTACTGTCCGGCTCCATTTGTTAGACATTTGCTTATTCCTGAAAAATAACGTATAAAAATTTATCTTTCCCACCCTTTATCGTCTCGATAGAAGAAATCATGAATTTTGATGTCAATGTAGTTGAATTATGAGAGTACTCGTACATTAAAAGTTTGCTCTCTCATTTTAATCCTCAAAGCTCAAAAATTAAGGAAAATATTTAAATTATTAATGAGTATACCATCTCTAAGTCGATGTAATAATATATGTTATAATGATTTAATTACAAATCATAGATTATTTCTCTTAATATCAACTCTTTTTTGTCGAAATAGCTCGAATATATCTAATAATGTGTATTTTCATTCGTTTTTGACATGCAATTTGCATTATATCCCATATGTGATAGTACTTATGATATTTACTCTCTTATATTTTTAAGTAGACTTTCCAAAAAAAATTCAAAAAATTATTTTATCAAGTTAAAAAATACAAGTTTTATAGGCAAAAATAGAAAATTAAAAAATTTTGGAAAAATAGATATCTGTTATAATTAATATTTAATCTAAATTAAAGATCGAGAGAGGGTCAAAGTTGCTATTTGTCACTTTTCCACAAGAATATAATGGGGAAAAAGTTATCATATAGTTGATCTCATTCACTGAGGTGAGAGATGCATGTAGTGTAATGTTATAAACAGTGGGATTGCTGCTCTAAGTCCTAGGTTCGAGACACATTGACTTCATTTTTCTCTTTTTTATTGACGTAAACTATTCAATTTTTGTGTTCTCCATTCAAATTTCAGAATTTTTTTTGCAGATTTCACGCTACATTCGAAGTTACCTTTTGTAACAACCACCACTGCCTACGAAAGACGAAAGTGTGTCACGATTTCACCCGGAAATCCGACGGTTGTTTAAGAGTAAGCACTTTTGGCACCTACTCATTAAAGATCTGTGCTAAGGATGTCAATTTGGAAGAAAAGTGAGAAAATTCCTAAAATGCTAAAAATGAATTTTCCAAACGTACTTTTTTATCTCATTTTTTTGATTTTGAAAAAAATTTGGAGAGAAGAACTCTTCGTTTTTGAATTTTGTCACGATGGTTTTAAAGTATATTAGACACATGTATTGATATTACTATTTTTGTATATTTTGAGAGAAAATCCCTAAAAAGTGAGAAAATCTGAGACGGTTTGAGAAAATATATAAACTATTGAAAATTTGAATTAAACTTCTAATTTGGAAAAAAGAAATTTGGAAAGAAGAAAATTCAAAAATCGAGATTTAGACTCAGTATCAAATGGAGAACAAAATGTTTCTTCATATGAAGGAAAAAAATTTTCTTGAGAAGAAATAGAATTTTTAAAATTTTATTGTATGTAATGAAATAAACAAATATTAAAATTATTTTTTGATAACAAGAAAAAGAGGTAGGGCAACGATAGAAAATTTTTGGAAAAAAAGTTCGGAGATCTTAAACGTATCATATTCCCTGCATGGTTTGGTATCTTCCGCCATGCGTTGTGCCAAACATATTGACACTTTCCAATAATTAATTTATGGTATGAGTCACAGAGTTAGATTATAAAAAGAAAGTAAATAATTGCAATTAGAAATCATATATGTCGGAAATCAAATGTTGATGAGCAGAAACCTTTTACTCATCATAAAAGAGATAAATCACAAAAGATTTGTATACATTAAAATTTGATATTTGGTGCTCGAAAACTGTCTGATGGGACTCCTCCAAAATGAACCAATCTATCGCTGAGGACCAAATTAGATGATGTGGATGGTGTATTCTCTAATTCTAACTTAGGAAGAATGGGAACAAAACGAATGACGACAACAACATGTCAAACATAGATTAAATATCTATGAATCAATAAAGTATGCGTGCATTGAAGGTTATAACGATCACTTGAGGCTTATAACTCTTTGACTAAATTATGCAATAATTAAATATAATCATTTTTATATTTTTATACTGATAGTAATTAATATACTATCCTGCTTAATAAATGGTATGATCAAATTTGTTTGAAAATTTAATTATGTATATGAAACTATGTCTTCTATATAAAAATCAAAATTTTCGGACGAACCTAGATTGAAGCTTTATGAAAATCTATCATTTTTGTTAATTGAGTTAATATGAATCTTTTACATATGTATATATAGCATTGATAGCTTATATAATCATGGTTTATTCCATATTAACATATTTTTTCAGTTAAATTTGTTAATAATATCATGTAACAAATTAATTCAAGATTAGAATGTCTACAAAATGCTAACAAATAAGAACAAAATACGATTTCTCGACTTAAATTTTAATATGGAGTAGTTTTTCGTTTAAATCTAATTAAAAATGAATAAAAACTTATCTTGTACTATTTTCATTCAAAGATTTTAATAATGTAAATCATGCATTTTCATAATTCAGTACAGTTCTTTTTAGAATTAAAGTTGATGAGGATGATATTTGTGATTTAAAATAATTTGTTAATGTTCACCTTTTATTCATCACCTTGTGGTATGCCCTAAAGCAATAGCATTATCAATTCTGCTGAATTGATCAACTCAAAATTCCAAAAAAAATTCAAAATTTCAAAAATGAAATTAAATAATTTCAATTTTCACATGAAAAAATCAATTTCGAAAAAAATTTGGAAAATCAAAGTATTTGATAATTAGTCAAATAATCAATTTACATCGTTTTTACTCATAAAAAACAACTAATTTTTGATTTTGATATCATATTTGATAAATACTCATTCCAGAGTTGACGTAATGTATTAATTATTGTTAGAGATATTGCTTTCGCAGCAAAATTCTTATTTCATGAAAGAAAAAAAAAATGATTTTATTCCAACAAAAACAAGTAAACAGATGAATGGAAACATACTATATTTTCATAAATGTAGTAATCAGCGTGTCAGCTTTTGTTTATCATGTTCGAGTCAAAATGTATTAACTTGTAATAAGAAATATTCGAAGATTATATGAAGTATTGAGCATTCTTTGTAGAAATATTTGTAATTCATTACTAACATATATAATAAAGTTGTTTTTTTTTCCTTATTGCAATAATTTTGTCTGATTTTAATAACTTTTCATGTATACGAGTTGTGTGAATATGCATCATAATATGCGTAAATATACTTATTTGCGACGAATAATGTGGTTGCATAATGGAGGTGCTAAATTTTGATTTTTAATATGGGGCTTTGGTATGTATAATCATGTTCTTATCTCAACGTAGGAGTATTGGTGCAATATGATTAAAATTTACGAGGTTGATCTTAAATTGAATAATTCTGGAGTATAAATCACAATGCAGCTAATTCTATGTTAAAGATAGATACAGATTGTAGTAATCAATTAGGGAGTACAAATTCATTCTTTCATTTCTGTCGTATTGAGCAGAAAGGAAGAGATCATAACCCTAGGAAAAAAAGCCCAAATTTGTCACTTTTCATAGTACGTTAAACTCAATTCGCTCGGCGAATGCCGAGCACACGTACTCATCATTCAACATAATATTCTCATTCTTTGGTTATTATAGTGCCAGACAACACAAGATTTCAAAGAATTGCTTAAGTTTTCAATTAATCTTAATCCGATTTTAGATTTATCGAGAACTCCATCATCACAATCACATACTTCAGTGCGGTAACTACAATTATCCATATATAGAAGGAAGTTCTTTTCGAACAACTCATTTGGAGTCTGTTTTGGAAAGAACTTCTTTCTGTCCGACTTAATTTCATAGTTCCTGATCAACCAAAAGACAGAAACCACACACTATCTACTTAGGAAAGGAGTTCTTTCTAAATCTTCCTTAAATTGAGATTTTACGAGAGATAACCCTTCTATTGCACTTAAAAATGAACATTTTGATATCTTTAGTATCACACATGGTCATATATAGTATTTCATCTACATGAATACATTCATCTTTCGAAGTCTCTCATTAAATGGGAGGCTTCGAAAGATGAATCGTTTTATTCATACAACTTTAAATCTCGAACACATTTAGAGAGTGAGTATATCATTTTATTCTTGTTTTGAGTTTATTCTGATTCAAAATTGCAGTGAAAACAGAAGTTCACACATCATATCTGAATGTGAGCTCATCTATACTTATACGATCTCAATACCTCCACTCTAAGCATAAGAGGTGAAGTTATATAAAAATTATCAGATGCGTTGAAGTCTCAAAAGTATTGCCTAAATGCTTGTTTCATATTTGTCCAAGTAGTTTCAATGAATAAATGTATTGTTTTTTATAATTTCGATTTATTTTTAGAAAATATTCAATATAAACCTTTATTGTGTTATTTACATCTCATAAATTCTCTGTCTAAATCATATAAAAGCGCGTTTTACCCTATGAATCAAGAAATTCATTCAATATTCATGGTATATTTATTAAATTTATACGATTTACTAATAATCAATATTATATCCTCATAAATAGCAATATATTTTGGTAATCTATGATAATCATATACAATATTTGAAATCAAATTTTCATTAGTTTAGGTTCCTTGTTAATAGTAAACCATTATATTTATTACTAATAATAAAATCTATGTGTCGTATTGAAATTCAATAAAATTACTTATTCGGTCCAAAAAAACAAATTAGATAAAATTTTTCTTTTTTTATGTAATTTTTGTTTTTCATTTTTCTCAAGATCCTAAGTTATGTTCTAACTTTTGACATCATATCCTATCATGCTAGGCTATATATTATAGCATATCCAAAAGGCAAGGAAATCTATCAGAGAAGCCTTTTTGACCTATCGTTGCCCTACCTCTCAAGAAATTCCCAATAGAAAATATTTGAGAGAAAGAAAAAAAAGAAAATTGAAAAATATTACTCTCCTTTATATTTCATGAGATTTTAAATTTATTCTCATAAAATTGACAATTTTATACGTTTAGATGAAAATAAGTGATTTTGGTTGAAATAGAAATTATTATTTGCTTACAGCTATCAAATAGATTTTTGCTATTTTGATTAAAATTTGTTAATCAAATTAATAAATTTTTTCTATATATCTTAAATATCTGGATCACTCACATATACAATGAATTGAACGATAAAAATAATACAAACTCAACTAAGTTTCCTGTCTTTCAACTAAAAAAAATTATGCAAATTAAATTAAATTGTTTATTCAAATATTAAACAAAGATGAAGTAATTACAGTTATCATAAACTTTATGAATAACTCTGTAATTGGTTCAGATTTTCGTAAAAATATTTTTATTAAAATCGATAAGAATACGTTTACCTACTATCACAACATATCGATAAACAAGAGTAGAGTGATTTTTATCATCGAAACTTTTTAAAAGCTGTAAGCTGGAAGGAAAAATCTTGTTTTTCTGAGTTAGTTGTAGAACTATTGATGCACGAGTTATCATTGTGATGTAGAAGGATGTCAATGTACTGACTGAAGGATATGAAGTGAATTGAATTTCATTGAATTTCAATTTGATCAAAATTTGTTGAAATGATATGAATGTGTCAACATCTGTATCACTCTCTTTCACTTCTTCCCTATTTTTTCGAGAACGAAGCTAGCTCAGCTTTCGCTGAGCGAATTGACACTTTTGATGCCCTAAACGTACATGCTCTCAAATTTATCGAAAAAAATTATACCACCTAAACTAGTATATTCTTATTTTAAATATGATATTATCCTTAGAATCCACACTAGAATATATTTAAATCAACTTTTAAAAAAGTTCGAATCCTGCGCGTCTCACTTTTTAAATTTTCGAAAATGAAAATTATATTCTCCTAAAATGAAAACAATTTTCCGAATTGACATCCTTATCTGTGCAATAAAATTGTTTCAATTCTCCTTGATATTTTAATAATACAAAATTTTACTTCGTGATAAGCCATACAAAGATACAATTTTACTATATGCCATATTATACAATACATCTATTTCAAATGGTAATAGATATCTAATGATTTTTTTTTAATTTTCCCTATCCATGGTTCAGTATCTGGATATGCATGTGACATTGAGGCATTAATACTAATTCTTGATGCCTTGATCTATGAATGCATAGTGGTATTTCAAATAGGAAAAGGTTGGTAAATTGAAGAATCTCTTCAGTAATATTGAAATTATATCTGATGTATAATATTATTATTCACATTTCATTTAAATTCAATACCATGGCTTTTCCGAGTTCTCAAATAAAGCGGTTATAGCCTATCCTTTTTTGCAAATGTCTCGTCAAACAGTCAACGTCCTTACACAGGAAGGCCAGAAGGCTTCTACAATCGAGCTCCCAAAGGTTTTCGACACACCAATCCGTGCCGAAGTCGTCAAGGAGGTTTACGTCAATCTCGCTAAGAATGCTCAGCAGCCACATGCTAACGACCCAATGGCTGGTAAGAAGGTTTCCGCCATCTCTTGGGGTACAGGCCGCGCTAAGGCTCGTGTTCCACGTGTCAACGGTTCCGGCTCCAACAGAAATGGCCAAGGTGCTTACGCTAACTTCTGCCGTGGTGGTCACCGCTTCAACCCACCAACACTCCTCCGCCGTTGGTTCCGCCCAGTCCCATCCCGCCAGCGCAAGTTCGCCATCGCTTCCGCTATCGCCGCTACAGCTGTCGTCCCACTCGTCCAGGCTCGTGGCCACATCCTCGGTGAAGTCAAGGAAGTCCCAATCGTTGTTGTCGATGCTGTCCAGGAGATCAAGCGCACACGTGATGCTGTTGAGCTCCTCAAGAAGGTTGGCGTTTATGGTGATGTCCAGCGCGTTCTTGATGGCTCCGTCCACCGCTCCTCCAAGGGCAAGTTCCGCCGTGCTGCCTACAAGACAAAGAAGGGCCCACTTGTTATCTACAACGAAGACAAGGGTATCGTTAAGGCTTTCCGCAACATCCCAGGCGTAGAAACAATCTCCGTCAAGGCTCTCGCCCTCGCTAAGCTTGCTCCAGCCGCTCAAGTTGGTCGCCTTACAATCTGGACAGAATCCGCTTTCAAGGCTCTCGATGGTATCTACGAGTCCAAGAAGCGCTTCTCTCTCCCACGCTCTATCATGACAAACGCTGATATCGAAGCCGTCATCACATCTGATGCTGTTCAGTCAGTTCTTAACGAGAAGAAGGAAGTTGTCCCACTTCCAAAGTGCCGCTGCTGCAAGAAACTCTCTGTTGGTGCCTGCGAGGACTGGCAGAAGGCTCTCAAGGAAGTCGCCGAACTCCGTGCTGCTCAGGAAGCTAAGCGTACATCCCCAGAAGTAGTTAAGGCTGTCTTCGCTGAAGCCGTCGCCGCTCAGCCAGCTACACCAGACAACATGTCTACACAGATCATCAACCATATCCCACTCTAAACAATTACATATGGCACAGAGTTAGACCTCTGATGTCATTGTTTTTGATAATTACTTTATCTTTTTTCCATTAAATTTTCTAAAATTATTTTAGAAATTTGTAATAATTTCTATGATTCTTAATCACCTAATTTCTGTTTTCTTTAGAAATCACTTTAAATGAATCATTAGCCCTCAAATCAAAATAAAAATTTCAAAAAATTATTCGATTTAAACAATAAATAAACAACATATTTTATTCACTAAAGATGGCAACAAAGTCATGCTCATCAATTTTGCCACGTCCTGACTTATCAAAATCATTTATCATTCTTTTTAGTAATGTTTCGCTAGATTTATCACCACATTTCTTGCATACTTCCATTAGATTGTGAACTGATATGTATCCATCATGATCTGTATCAAACATAAGGAACATTCTTTTCAGTTCTTGTTTTTGAGTTCTATTGAGTATTAAGTTTGTTGTTATAGATTTAAATGTAGGGTAATCCATTCCGTTTGTTTTTCCTTGCATGTATTTATCTATTTCTTGATCTGATAAGTAAAATCCCATTGTTCTAAGTGCATTTGAAAAATCTTTCTTGCTGATTATCTCTGTTTTGTTCGGATCGAATGTCCTAAAAGCCATTTTGATTTCAGCACGTTGATCTAAAGTTAACTTCGACATTATTTTTCTCCTAATAAACGCTTTTTTTCAATGTTTAAGGGTCCACTGTAAAAATTGAAAGTCTCTCAAAATTGAGAGGCGATTTGCAAATAATCATTATCGTCTTTTTTCGAAAATCCACTTTTCCTAGTGTTCTGATTAATATTTTGTGAATGTAACAATAAAGTATATGTTTTAGTAAGATGATAATACATTCTATCACTTCAAATCACATAAAAATTGCAAAATCAGCGAGTTTTATAAGAACATGATTTTTTCGAATTTTTTCGCTTCTGGATGCGTGTTTTGAAAAATAGATATTTTCGAATTTTGATTTTAATTTAAGTATAAATTTTATATTAGGAATTTTTTTTGACCTATTTCCAATCATTAATTCCTAAGTTTTTCTAGGAATTTAATTGAGAAGAAATTAGGAAATTCGCTTTAATGCCATTACATCCTAATATTGTGATGCATGTAGTTTATATTTATTGAGGCTAATGCCGGAATATCGTGCATTTTATAAAAAATTCAAAGAATTGACAATTGGATAGCACAAATTTAATTCTCTAGACAAAGTATTATTGTTTATATATTCAAAGCATTATCCTTCGTTTTGAAATGTTGGCCAAAAATTTTCGTGTTATTTTTTGTGTTTCAGCATAAATTATGTATTGACTTATGAAAGATAAGCATTTTATTCATTATCATAAAGATATACCAAAACAAATTGATAAAATTTAAAAAAATGTGTATTTTAGTGGGTATTATTCTGGCCAATGCCCATTTTTAAACGATTTAATATTGACCATATCAATAGCCGACTCAATGTAAAAATTTAGATATTATTTTTTTCATTATTCAAACTTTGATAAATTTTAGTATAATGAATGATTTCGTTTCGTGTATGATACAGAAATGAAAAGCTTGATTAATATCATTTTGCATTTTTTCAAGAATGTTAGAGTACATCTACATTAAAAAATCGGATTCGAATTGCGATACTGCATCAAATTGTTGCACATCTGATAAGGATCTCAAAAGAGTAAAGTTAATTTTTTTGTGTTTTTTTAAGTTTTGGGCCTTAGTAAAAACACCATCTTGAGCAATATTTTTGGGACGACGATAGGCCTTATTTGGCCTTACAGTGGACCCTTAAAATTATTTCCGTTTTTGTTTATAAATTGAAATAAATTCAATATATTACACGGAAAAATTAATGAATAGGGGAAAAGCTTAAAACTATGAGTAATAATTACAGGAACATGCAAGTAAAGAACCTCCAAAAAACTCGATCATGTAAGAAAGCGCAAATTTAATTATTTAATTAACAAATATTTATATAAACAAGAAGAAAACTAAACAAAATATTATTAAACCTTGAGTTGGAATTGTTCCAACTCATTCATAACCATATTCAAGGTTAGTTCGACAAATCCACTAGAATGTGTTTTCATAACTTCTCTATTTGGACATTGAGCAACTAAATTTGTTTCTATAAGCTCAGGATATAGTCCTGTAAAGTAAGCTGATATTTTCTGGAAAAACGATTCTGCTTTAGGTGCAAATAACGGAACTTTCAACTTGTGAAGGCCTTGCTTCATTGGAAGGTGAATTGCACCATATCCTACTATCTTATCATTGCCGAAACTATTTAAACCATAAACAGCTAAAACAATTTGAGGCCATCCGTATGGTGTTTGTGTTTTAAGAGATATTCCAAGAGGATAATTAAATATTGCTTCATGTCGAGAATTTACATGCGTTGTGTAAGAAATTCCTGCTTTACTTCCGGCATATGCTTCCCAATCCTGACCAGAAACGAAGCCAAATTTAACATACATGTCGCATGATGAATTTGTTGAGCATTTATCGATTGTGCCTTGTGCAGTTAAGTGTATATTTATAGGTTGTGCCATTCAATAATGGTATAAAATTTATTAACGTAAATTTTTGAGTGAGCATTGATTTCAGACTTGGAAGGATAAGATTTCGTTTTCACTGTGAATTTATTAAAAGGATGAATGACTTCACACAGAATGCCATTGTTGTTCCAAGAATCAAATAATTTTGCCATTTGATATGGAATCTTTGAACATCAATTGACTAGTGGAATATAAGGTTTGGATTCTATTGTATGCTCGATCTTGAGTTCTACTTTTAAAAGAAACCAAAGTATAAAAGTAATTTTTCATATTTCTGGTTTAAAAACTCAATTAGGATAAATTAAATATGGAAAATATAAAGTTCATATGATATATAAACGATTTTCTTAGCTTGTTGGTTAAAAATATGTAAATTAAGAAAGAAATACAAACAATTTATTGAAAAGAACTAATCAATTGAAAAGCATCACTATGCCCATTCATTGATGCAGCAACAAGAGTGTCTTCTGTAGGTTTTGCACCAAAATGAAGTAATAATTGAATCAAATTTAAACTTCCCATTGCTGCAGCATGATACAAAGGCGAACACTCATCGCCAACATTAGGATCAGCTTTATTAGATAGTAATATCTCAACAACTTTTTCATTTTGCCTAATAACAGCAACAATTAAAGCATTTTCTCCAGAATTATTTTTATGTTTGACATCAGCACCTTTTTGAATAAGTAATTGCAATACATCATCTCTTCCAAACCTTGCAGTCAACATTAACGGAGTATTTCCGTTTCCATCAGTTACATCAATATTTGCACCATGATCAAGAAGGAGTTCTACGATTTTAACATCACATACTTTAGCAGCAATAATAAGAGGAGATATGTCAGAGTTAACTGGCTCATTTACATTAAATTTAGGATATTTTTCTAATAAATAGCGAATTAACTCTTGATTTGCAGCTTTCAAAGCCATAATAAATATGTCTATTCCTAATTCATTCTTGTGATATATATCTGCATTGTTTTTCTCTAATAATAAAAATGTCTTAAAATTTTGAGGAAGAGAAGTGAAAAATATAGCTGTAGAGCCTTTAGGTGTTGTTGCCTCTAAATTTACACCTCTATCTATCAAATACTGTATGATTTGAAGCTTATTTCCTCTGACAGAATTCATTAACGGCGTCATACATAGTTCGTCATGAGATTCGATGTTTGCTCCATACTTTATCAGCTCCTTAACACAATCCAAGTGGTTTCCATTGATTGCGTTGATTAATGGAGTTTCATGTTTTGAATTTTCTGTATCAACATTAACACCATGCTCGCAAAGTATTCTAATAATACTAGCATGACCATTACTTGCTGCAATATTGATTGGTTCCTCTCCTCTGATGGATAAACAGTTAATTTTTGCATCCAAACTCATTAACAACTCAAGATTTTCGGGAATTCCGTATTCACATGAAACAAAAAGTGGTGTTTTCCTAAAATTATTTAAAAAATCAATTGAATTTCCTTGATCAATTAAATATTTCAATAAAAAGCTAAAAGGAAACTCTGAAACATAGTGCAATATAGTATTTCCATCATTGTCGATCTCTTCATCAGCAGATTGAATGTTTTGAAGCTTCTCAAAAAATAAATCAAAATTATTACTGTCTAAAGTTTCAGTTATTGAATATTTGAGGTTGTAATTTTGTTCTAGCCAACGAACTATCTCGGGCCTATGATATATTAAAGCATTTTTCATACATTCTTCATCAACTTTGCATTGACGTTCAACAATGTGTATTATCTCGTAGTTTCCGCCTTTTATGGATTGGATCATTGTAATATTTGATAGTGTAGCGCCTTTAGCTATTAAATATTTGAAACATTGGATTGATCCGCTTTCACAAGCGAAAATTAGAAGCGAATCAAGTAGATATTTGTCTTCTAGGCGTTGTTCGATACTAATCACGAATTTATCAAAGTCATCTTCAAAGATATATCGCTCTAAAGAATCTTCTGGATAAAAAGTATAAAATTCTTGATGTGTATTGGAGCTTGTAAACTCTGCATAGAAATTCATACATGTATAAATCATATTTACGCTTCCAAAGTCGAAAAATTGTGATAGATCAATAACCAATTGAGCAACAAACTTAATTCTGTGAGGTCTACGAAAACAAATGATATCGCACGTATAAAGAAAGCAATGTATTGTTATAATTTTTTGATCAAGTGATTTTTTGATTTTTGCTTTGATATCTTCAATATTTTGCTGGTCAATTTGCCAGATCTGCTGAAGAATATCGATTGCATCCCTACAATACTCTGGAAGAAAATCAAAATCCATAAAAATTTGTCACTTTTGAGATCAAATTTTGTCAATTTTTGGAATCAAAAGATTTTGATCGTGTGTTATGAAGTTTATACTATGGAGCAGGCTTGAGTGGCATTCACGTAATCTCTGTAGGTTATAGAGACGCATTAGTAGAAAAATTTTGTATTATAGAGAAATTATTTTTATTTGATTCTTTTTTTAACTCATGAATATAGCTTGCGATTGGCTCGTGTCATTCTGTTTCAATGAAATTATAAGCATTAGCGAATCCATTATATAGTTTGATGTGTTTGATGACATTCATATTAAGTATTAATAGTGTATATATCTAAACTTAAGTGTGTATTTCAATAAATTTCCAAGGCTGAGCCATATACTACATGAATTTACAAATATTAACATCTTTTTAGCTTATGCCATTATTCCAAATTACTTTATACAAATAATAAATTAAAATAACAGCCAATGTTCTCTTTAATATATCATAAGACACACATACAATATGAAATAATTGAAATCTCAGTAACTCATCGATAATGAGGATTTGCTCAGAAATATTAATTAATTATTTTGATGTATGAACCTCGTTGGCAATAAAAACAACAAAATATTAGTTGTTCAACCAAAATATAAAAATTAATTGACATTTGAGGAAATTTATACAATTATCAACGGAATTAAAGTCCGATAACTTTAGCCGTTGGAAAATATCAATTTTAGAATAGATTAAATCATTACAAATTCTTAAATTAAGAGGTTAATTTATTAAATTTAAAATTGAATATTAATCATTATCTTTTCTTAATAATCTCGGAATAATTTTGATGAAATGAATATATATTTTCATTGAGATAGATCAAAAAAACCATAAAACACAGTAAATCTTTAAGATTTAGCTATCTTTCAAAAAGTTTCACTCATTTAAAAAAATTAACAAATTCATGGGATGAAGAGAAGGTTTAGGGGGTGAAATAAGTTAAAAGGGGGTGAAATTAAAGGAATTTTTGAAAATTACATAAATTTAGTTAATAGAACATAGGCACATATCCGAAATCGCCAAGATCGGCGTTACCATTGGATACTTTATCGAAGAGATCCCAAAGTTCGTGCGTGTTTGTGACGATTTCAAACCTTTCAAAAAAATTTGGATTTGGCGTTTCATCATGCATAAAAACGTCTGTATTTGTTGTTGGTTTTGGTAATGCCTGTCTTGATTGGACATTCTGATCCTCATTGCTTGTAGGAGGAGATTGTTCAACGTTGGGCTTATCAAACTTTGGAGCATCTCTTTCTTTTTTGTTTTTGTTTCTGTTAAGAACAGTCCACCTGTTCTTAACCTCAATGTTTGATCTGTTTCCGAGATTGGATGCTATCAGAACCCAATTGTGGCCATTGAGGTTAACAAGTTCATCCAATTTTTGATCTTCCTGTGCAGTCCAGGGAGTATCATTGCGAACATGCTTAAGATGTTTGTTATATCTGTCGTTGCATTGTTTTGCAGTTTTGCCTTTAATCTTCTTGGCAATTTCAGACCATGGGGCATCTGGACGCTTCTTGCGCCACTTGATAATCATCGCATCTTCACTTGGCTTGAAGAAAGTACGCGTTAAATTCATGCCCGGTTGAAATATGACAAAATATAGTTTAAGTTAATTCAATTTGAATTTTTATGCAAAATTCTATACAAAATTGAAAAGTGTCGAATAAAACCCTTTACATAAATTTGAAATTCTTATATGGAATATTGTTTTGTATAGAAATAGAATAATTATACTTTTGTGAGAACCTATTTTCTGAGATTAAGGGTGCACACGAGAGGATCATGTAAACTTCAGAATTTAGAACCTTATTTTTAGGCATTATCTTGGCTACCTATTTAGGCTCGAAAAGCAAAAAATATCAAAAAATACAACTTGACTCCATTATGACCCTTTCATGGAGGTAGTTTTTATCCGCTAGTATTTTCCCTTTGAATCTCTTTACAATTCGAAATCAAATTCAAAACTCAGTAGAAGAAAGGAAGAATCGACTTACTACGGTTGTAATACGAATAAATACATATATTTAATTATTTTTATTTACATAATAATTGTTTGAAGCTCATATTCCATCAAATTTTTAAATAAAAACATTAAAATGTTGAAAATGTTCATATATTTTAATAGGGTTTTGGCACTTATTGAGAGAATTACTACATACATAGTCGAACTGAACTTGATATTTTGAAATTTAAATTATTTATCAAAATTAAAATTTAACTTGAAATTTATAATTATTTAGTCATATTTTGCATAATTCTAAGTAGATTTTGTAAAAAATCAAGAAAGAAAAATTTTAATGTGCTTTATTTTTTCTTTTTTATAATAATACATATTATTATATAATTAACATATTCATAATGTTTCACCTTTCAAAAATATAATCCTCCTCCTCTCAAATAAACGTACATACGAGTGGCCTCTTTTTTCAAAAAATTAAAATTTGAAATTTTGGGCTCAAATATTAGAGATTTTTTCAACCTTCAACGATATATGTTGTCTATATCAGACCTCCTTTCTTTTTGATACTTAACATTGTTCCTAAATCTTTAGGGTTGTTAAAAATATCAAAAATTAGCGTTTTGAAGACACCATGGTGTCTTATAATTTTCCCTTCCTTATTGGCGTGTAGAAATAAATGCGCCAATAGATTGAAGAAGAAGAATTGTTTTTCTCTTAATGAACTTTAATCCTTTTGATATAAGAATATTAAAAACATTAATATAATTTCGATTTCGGAAATTAAATTTCCAAATTTTTTGTCGATTTCTGAAATAACAGGATCCCGCATCCAACACGCAACAACAAAACACAAAATACACTTTTTGGTTCTTTCATCGTTTTAATCGTAATTTATGTAATACATGATTTGGATAAATTTTACAAAAATAGAACCTATATTATATTCTTTTCAAAGATTCTTGCAAATCATCAAAAATAATTGTATTTTAAAAAACGATCAAATTATCCTTTCATTATTTTAAACTTAAATTAGTTTTTATGATTGACTAAAGCAATCATATTTATTCATCATTAAATAAACAAAAAAATAATATTTGAGAGTGAGTAGGGGTAATTTTAGCTAAAAGTGACACACCTGTGAAGGGTGTGATTACCGATCGGTCATTTCGACAGTTTAGAATTTAAAATTTTTTATGGAACTGTTGCGAGTTTCATAAAGAATTTAAGGAATATAAGCAAAGATTTGAATCAAAATCTTAGACCTAAGCCGCTCGATTCGCTCGCGGCTTCCGCGAATTACAGATCAGCAAAGATTTGAATCAAAATCTTAGACCTAAGCCGATCGCTTCGCTCGCGGCTTTCTTTATTATTTTAAATTTGCATATTTCCATCAAAAGTTCATAAGGTAAAAAATTTCGTTTATATTATTGCAAAATAAAATCTTCATTATCAAAATAATATTAAATGATAATATAATATAATTTATAAACAACTATTATTTAATAAAGTTTAATTGCCAAGGTTCATCTAATTTTTTGATTTTTAATGTTTTATGAATTTTATTTATCATGTATATATCTAATGAAGATTATATTGTTGTAAACAGAAATTCATCAAAAGTGACACCTCAGAAAAGCTAAAATATTGAATTTTTGGAACTTTTGATAGAGCACGTTTTTAAATATTAATTAAAGTAAATGTATATTTTGTAAAGATTCTTTTTAATAAAAAAATAAAATTTTGAAGAAGAACACAAAATCTTCTGAAAAATAATATCACATAAACTCATATTATTTTCTAATATATAACTATTTTATATAAAAATCAAATTCAATGATCTTAAAAGCGAAGGATAAACCTCAAAATTTACGAATATAATGAGTGGGAATATAATGCTTATCTATCATAAAACCATATGAAATATCAATTTTTGCTTTACGCCTAATTTTTGACGACAATTAGCAAAAAATGTTAAATGTTAACACTCAGTCCATTTGAATATGAAAATAAAATTGACTTTGATTAAATGTTTTTATTTATCATGCAATTCTTCTTGCGACCAAAGATTTGAATAAAAGTTCAAAAAATAAGATAGCTTAAAAAATAATATACGGTAGTGTTTACTAATAGATGAATAGTATATAAATTCTATTAAAATGGATTTGATCCAAAAAATATAAACCAAAAATAATTGTTATAATTTAAATGAAGAAGTAATTTAAAACGATTTTATTTATGATCAAATTTTATATATTTTTTTGGATCAAATCCATTTTAATAGAATTTATATACTATTCATCTATTAGTAAACACTACCGTATATTATTTTTTAAGCTATCTTATTTTTTGAAGTTTTATTCAAATCTTTGGTCGCAAGAAGAATTGCATGATAAATAAAAACATTTAATCAAAGTCAATTTTATTTTTCATATTCAAATGGACTGAGTGTTAACATTTAACATTTTTTGCTAATTGTCGTCAAAAATTAGGCGTAAAGCAAAATTGATATTTCATATGGTTTTATGATAGATAAGCATTATATTCCCACTCATTATATTCGTAAATTTTGAGGTTTATCCTTCGCTTTTAAGATCATTGAATTTGATTTTTATATAAAATAGTTATAATATTAGAAAATAATATGAGTTTATGTGATATTATTTTTCAGAAGATTTCATTCTATATGCCTATGAAAAGTACTCTCAAAACTAACTTTTTCCTAATTACAATTAAATCTAGAATATTGTATTATGCTTAGTATTATTTCATTTTTCTCATTCAATTTAGAATTTACAAATGTCAAAAAATTGAGAGATGTCACTTTTGATGAATTTCTGTTTATTACAATATATGTAGAAGATAAGTACCTTAATATGTACGTAAAAATTAATGAAATTTATTTTGAATGTAGAACCGAGCAATTTTCAAATTTTGTGCTTTTTTTGAATTTTCTCGATACCAGATAAGTTGTGTTGGCTAAATAATATATGGATACAATGTGTCTTATAGATGAATATATGCACAAAGTTTAAGAGGTCATTTTCTTTCAGAAACCGAGATTTGTGAATTTTTTCAAATTTTGTGCTTTTTTTGATATTGAAATTTCATTTCATTTTTTTGATGCATATCGATGCACCATGCGAACTTAAAGAAAGACTATCTTATATAGATGCTATGAAAGCTGTCATTGATAACGAATGCCATGCAGGTTGTCCATATCAATTAAAAAAAAATCCAAATTTAGGGGAAACAAAATTAAAATTCAGGTGCAGTGCAGATAAATGTGAAGCATGTATCTCATTTCTAAAGGATGATGAAGAATATATCCTAACAGAATATAATGGAACACATAATCACAATCAAATCAAAGATGAGACAAAGAAATACCACACATTATCACAATGCTATCGTCGGGTACTTATTAATTTTATAAAACAGGGGGGTGATCCGAAAATGGCTCAAATTGAATGCGACAAAAAACTTGATCTGGATGATCCACTTAACAGGCCATCTTTTTTGAATGCATCTTCAGATCAAATGAAAACAATTCAGGAAAAAGGAAATAAAAAGATCAAAGGTATTCAAAAGTACGATGATAATCAATTCAAGTCAACTCAATTATTTAAGGGTATCAAAGAACAAGAGTCACCAAAAGATTTAATTTATTTCGATGTCGATAATTACAACAAACCAAAGAAATTAATCTTTTATTATGCTTCTTTCAAATTTCTGGACATAATCAAAATTGTGAAAGAGCATTTTATTGATGCAACCCATTCATTACTTGAATTTAAAATGTTGTTTTACATGATATCAGCCAAATTTCCAAATACACATGCATTCCCAATTTTTCAATTTGTCGTTTATCCAAACACTTCAGAAAATATTGCATTCTGTCTCAAGGCATTTTTTAACTGGGCAAAAGTAAAACCAAAATATTTTATGTCAGATTGTGCACAAGAAATCGAAAATGCGATTATCAACTCTTTTCCAGAAGTTATCCTTCATTGGTGTGCAGTTCATGTAATGAGGGCGTTCAGAAAAAATTTGAAAGATTATGCATTTGAGAGTTCAGACAAATTGATATTAGATACAAAAATGAACTATCTTGCATACGGCAGAAATGGCAAGAAAGAATGGATTGAACCAACGTTCAAAAAAATTCTGGAAATAGCCGAAAAATTCCCAGAATTTTCAAAATACATACAAAATCAATGGATATCAAACCAAGAAAGATGGACAGCCGCTGAAAGAGATGAAAATTTAGCTCTCACAAATAACATTTCAGAATCGATTAACAAAAAAATTAAATATTACTACTTTGGCGGAACAATTTTCATGAGATTTGATCGATTTGTGATGAAATTAATCGATTTTATCGTTCCTTCATTTTATTACAGAATTTCTCAAGATATAAGGCTCAGAGACAAAATTCCAAATCCGTTGCCATCTGAAAAAAAGCCAAAAAAGTCTACAATCAGACTGGATACAGAAAAATGTATAATGCTCACTGATAAAATTAAATCGTTAATAGTTAACTCATCAGCAAACTTAAATACGCTTCAATTGGGTTTAGATGACCTACTTGATAAAGTTGTCAAGGCAGCAAAGGTTCAAAAACGAATGACCCAGTATTTTGCGAAATTAAGTATCCCAATGGAAATCAAGCTTAGTATTCTCACGCAAATTACAGAATTTGGATGCAATACCCCTCAATTCATTGTTGAGAATGCCAAGTCTTTTCAAGATAAAATTATTAGAGATTTCCACCTTCAAATTTATACAACATTATAAAAATTTATGAATAAAAACTTGATATAAAATAACATTTTTATTTTTACTAAGAAAAAAAGGTTTTTGATAATAAATTTATTTTATTTCGAAAAAGTAGCAATAATCGTAAAAGGGTATTGATAGGCTTGCTAAAGTAACTAATTTTAGCTGTCAAATACTTTTGTATTTTGAAGTAAATTAGTATAAATTTGTTTTTACTTTTATTTCGAAAAAGTAGCAATAATCGTAAAAGGGTATTGATAGGCTTGCTAAAGTAACTAATTTTAGCTGTCAAATACTTTTGTATTTTGAAGTAAATTAGTATAAATTTGTTTTTACTTTTATTTCGAAAAAGTAGCAATAATCGTAAAAGGGTATTGATAGGCTTGCTAAAGTAACTAATTTTAGCTGTCAAATACTTTTGTATTTTGAAGTAAATTAGTATAAATTTGTTTTTACTTTTATTTCGAAAAAGTAGCAATAATCGTAAAAGGGTATTGATAGGCTTGCTAAAGTAACTAATTTTAGCTGTCAAATACTTTTGTATTTTGAAGTAAATTAGTATAAATTTGTTTTTACTTTTATTTCGAAAAAGTAGCAATAATCGTAAAAGGGTATTGATAGGCTTGCTAAAGTAACTAATTTTAGCTGTCAAATACTTTTGTATTTTGAAGTAAATTAGTATAAATTTGTTTTTACTTTTATTTCGAAAAAGTAGCAATAATCGTAAAAGGGTATTGATAGGCTTGCTAAAGTAACTAATTTTAGCTGTCAAATACTTTTGTATTTTGAAGTAAATTAGTATAAATTTGTTTTTACTTTTATTTCGAAAAAGTAGCAATAATCGTAAAAGGGTATTGATAGGCTTGCTAAAGTAACTAATTTTAGCTGTCAAATACTTTTGTATTTTGAAGTAAATTAGTATAAATTTGTTTTTACTTTTATTTCGAAAAGTAGCAATAATCGTAAAAGGGTATTGATAGGCTTGCTAAAGTAACTAATTTTAGCTGTCAAATACTTTTGTATTTTGAAGTAAATTAGTATAAATTTGATATTATTTTAACTCCCTTTGAAAACCTCAATTTTCCATACAGAGGGAACGGGAATAGCATCCAATATTCCCTGAGAATGGTTGCGCATTCTCAGTTCCCTCTATATTTCGAACGAAGCTCTCATCGGTCTTTTTTTTTAATACTAAACGTTTTTTTCCCTGTCACTTTTAGCTAAAATTTGGGTTTGCCCTCAAATATAAGTTAGCCTATTCAAATAATAAAATTAAATAATATTTAAAATAATAAATAAAAGTGATTGAGGTCATAGCAAAACGGCTGTTTGGAGGCAGTTAGGAGCTAGCGGTTGAAGCGATAACATTCACAGCCAACATCTACGGTCAAACGGCAGCATTCAAGGGCAACATCTACAATCAAGCGGCAGCATTCAAGGGCAACATCTACGATCAAGCAGCAGCAAGGAGCTACGGCAGCAACGAACTACGGCAGGTCAAGCGGCATCATTCAAGGCCAACATCTACAATCAAGCTGCAGCAAGGAACTACGGCAGGTCAAGCGGCATCATTCAAAGCCAACATCTACAATCAAGCAGCATCAAGGGGCTACAGTAGGTCAAGCTGCAGCATGGAGCTACAGCATCAAGGAGCTACGGCAAGTTAAAGATCAGTCAGATCTGGAAATATCTTTTTCAGGATTTCATTTGTCATGAAAAGCTTCAATAGGATTCTACACTTTATTAGATCTTCACGTGCGTTTTGATTAAACCTATTACGCAGGTTCCGCACAATTGAAATCATTCTTTCCACATCAGCTTCGGTTGCAGCAATAGACATGAATTTTAAGGCAATCTCTTTCAATGCCTTGAAATTTGCATCACATGCTACCCAAAACCTTTGATCCAAGCAGGTGAGGTCGGTGTTGTTCCTGATTTCACTCTCATTCATATGTATAAAGTTGGAAAGAGCTTTCTTGTACTCATTAGCTATGTTCTTGGCCGAACTTCTCTTGTAGAACCTCGCTTCTGCTTCTGCACGTCTCGAAAGCATCTCGATCATAAAATCGTTGAAGCTGTACTCTTCCACTTCTTGCATTGACAGAGACGCCCATTCACCAAGGTTCCTGCCTAGTCTCCTCCTTGGTTCATTCTCTTCAACTTCTTCATCCTGAGCAATGTCTTCTGCATCTACTTGGCCATCACCTTCAATTGCTTCGTTCTCAATCTCGGGCTCTTCTATATCTAGATTTCTGTCCAATTGATCCTCTGCCACTTCATCCAAATGATCAGGGGTGTAGCTCCTTGGAGGGATTTCAAGTTCAGCATTGATAGGTATTGGTTCTTGGAAGAAGAGTGAAACGTCTGGCTTGTACTCAGTATGCATGTTCAATTCTGCGCGGATGACTGACCGGCCCCATGGAGTTAGACCAAAGGCAAATTTCATCAAAGCGTAGTTGCCCTGTTTGTCAAAAACTTCATTCATGTTGGCGATTAATGCATCTGCAATGCGCTTTGACGAACTTGATAATTCAGGACGATTTGCAATTCCGGTCAACTGCTCAATCGTCGATTGAAACATTGGATAGATGTAGCAGAAGCAGCCAACGTCACTCTCTGCATAATTCAAGAGTTTCTTGATTGGTAAAAGAATCTCTTCGAAATTTAACAACCATTGTGGAAGTCCATCCTTGAAATCAATTCCCATATCCCTTAAGATCTGAACAGATTCCGGTGGATCATCCATATTGAACAATTCATAAATTTTAGGGTGTTTTTCTTTTATCCACTTCAGAAGATCCCAGAAAAACATCCAGCGATGATCCGGAACATGAATAACCCTCATATTCAATGCCCTTCTCGTGTCCGGCTTCGATAACTCCTTGCTTATCGCTTTGCAATAATTAATTTGCATTGCGAAAGCTGCACAATTGTCTGCCGTATGCTTCACCACTAAGTTGAGGAGATGCGCAACACATCGGATATAAACGGTTTGAAGACCCGGATATAGTGCTCCGCATCTCCTCCAGTGGCACAGCCCTTTAACTTGGGCGGGGCATCCATCGGCAACAATTGCAGAAAGGAAATCCTTTGGGAAGGTAAAACATTCAAAGAAATTATTGTAATCCCTGGCATTCCAACCATCAGCGATCATAGTATCAATGAAGATATGGTTCTTCATTTTTGCTGGATTGCTAGCCATCACAAAAAAGCCATGCCGGCTTCCGTGTGATGCCGCATCAATTGTTATCGAATAGTAGCCCATCTTGTCAAGCTCAACGTGTATTTTTGGAGCTACCAAGTCGGCTAATGTAATGATTCCATCCCTTATCTCGTCTCTTCTATATGGGATCTTGAGTTGAAAATTGATTACTCCCTTGAAGGTGGAGTAGACATGTCGGGCGAAATCTTCTAGTACACCTGAAGCGGCCATATTGATTGACATGTTGGTATCCACAACAAATTTTACAACATAAAGTAATTTTCTATCTTGTTTTATTAAATCTCTTCTCGTATATGGATTATTTTCACATTGTATTTGATATATATGCTGATGATCTTCATCAAATTCTGATGGTTTTCGATGATAAATGCAGCGCATATATGTTTTTGTTAGTAAATTGTAATGTATCGCTAAACAATAACAATAAAGTCTTTTTCGTTCTTTCGATTTTTCGCTTGTATCTGGAAGATAAGCAATATTGAAACATACTCGACATTTATTATTAGTTGAGAATTTAGTATCCTCGAATTTTGGTAAGGGAGGTACTTTTCGAGGGATATTTTTGGGAGGAAGTTTGCAATCAATCCAACCCTCAAATTTGGATTCATATTCATCTTGTGTTTCAGTCATTAATTCTTAAAAATAAAAAGGGTAAAAACTAAATAAAATGGGTAAAATTCAATAGTGTCTGTGCTATCGTTCAATTTGAAGGTGTCTTTTGAAACCGCAAGACACATTGAATTTTTGA